TTTATATTTTAATTCTTCCTGGATTTGGCATAATTTCACATATTATTACATTTGAAAGAGGTAAAAAACAAACTTTCGGTCAATTAGGTATAATTTACGCAATAATAGCAATCGGTCTTCTAGGATTTATCGTTTGAGCACATCATATATTTACTGTGGGAATAGATGTAGACACTCGTGCTTACTTTACAGCCGCCACTATAATTATTGCCATCCCCACAGGAGTAAAAATTTTTAGCTGAGTGGCGACACTTCAAGGAAGTGCTTTAACTATCACCCCAACTTTAATATGAGCCATAGGTTTTGTATTTTTATTTACTGTGGGGGGTCTTACAGGAATTACTTTAGCTAACTCTTCACTTGACATCGTACTTCACGACACTTACTATGTAGTCGCCCACTTTCACTATGTTCTATCTATAGGGGCTGTATTTGCAATTATAGGAGGCTTAATTCATTGATTTCCTTTATTTACAGGAATAAATTTAAATCCTAAGTGACTAAAAATTCAATTTTATACTATGTTTATCGGAGTTAATATAACATTTTTCCCCCAACACTTTCTAGGACTAAACGGCATGCCTCGACGTTACTCAGACTACCCCGATGCATTTACTACTTGAAACGTTTTATCTTCGTTAGGAAGTTACACCTCAGTAGCTGCCGTTCTTCTATTCAGCTTTATTATTTGGGAATCTATTTCGACTGCCCGCCCTAGAGTCCATAACTTTATTTACTCTTCATCAATTGAGTGATTTCAAAATATACCCCCATCTGAACACTCATACTCGGAGCTATCCTTAGTCACACATTTTTAATGTGGCAGATTAGTGCAGTGAACTTAAAATTCAAAAATGAATAATTTATTCTTTTAAAAATTGCAACTTGAGCGGCTTTAGGGTTCCAAAACGCTTCTTCACCTTTAATAGAACAATTAATCTTTTTCCATGATCACACCCTAACAATTTTGATTTTAATTATTTCTATTGTAGGGTTTAATTTATTCTCAACTATACACAACACAAATATTGACCAACATATAATAGAATCCCAAGGTTTAGAACTATTTTGAACTATTGTCCCAAGTTTTATTTTAATTTTTATCGGACTTCCTTCTATTCGCTTATTATACTTACTAGATGAGGTATATAGCCCGGCAATCACCATTAAAACTATCGGACATCAATGATATTGATCTTATGAGTATTCAGATTTTATTAACTTAGAATTTGACTCATACATAATTCCGTCAAATGAAATAAGAATGAATATATTTCGTTTAATTGACGTTGATAACCGAATAATAGTCCCTCTGAACTCCCAAGTCCGCACTTTAATTACAGCTGCTGATGTTTTACACTCATGAACAGTCCCAAGAATGGGAATTAAAGCTGACGCTGTGCCAAGACGCCTAAACCAAGTTAATTTTTATACAAACCGCCCTGGACTATTTTTCGGGCAATGCTCAGAAATTTGCGGAGCAAACCATAGATTTATGCCCATCGTAATTGAAACAATCCCAGGAAAAAACTTCATTAAGTGAGTAAAAAATATATCTAAGTAAACTATTCATTAAATGGCTGAAAGTAAGCGTCGGTCTCTTAAACCGTTTTATAACAATTTAACAAATGTTTTTAATGAAAAAATTAGTTAACATTATTTATAATATAGTTTTGTCAAGACTAAGTAGTTTTAAAAACATTTTTTTATTCCTCAAATAGCACCCATTATATGGCTGTCTCTTTTTTTATTGTTCTCTTGGTTATTCCTTCTGTCTGTAATTAAAATTTCTAATATTAAAAATACTAATATGAATGCCAACGTTGGTCAAACTAATACCCCACTTAGTGACGACGGAACCGATCATATAAATTGAAAATGATAATAACTAATTTATTTTCAGTGTTTGACCCTTCATCTATAATTTTTATATCTTTAAACTGAATTAGATCATTAATTGTTTTAATGATCTTAACGCCTATGTTTTGAGCCACCCCTAATAAATTTTTTTTACTGACCCTAAGAATTTGCAAAAAACTTCATGATGAATTTAAGATATTGCTAGGACCCCACTCATCAGTAGGAAGAACTATCCAATTTATCTCTTTATTAATATTTATTCTAATAAATAATTTTATGGGGTTATTTCCGTATATTTTTACAGCTTCAAGACACATAATTTTAACCTTAACTTTAAGATTACCTCTATGACTATCATTTATGATGTACGGCTGATTAAATTATACCAAACATATGTTCGCCCATTTAGTGCCACAGAGCACTCCAAATTTATTAATACCATTTATAGTCCTAATCGAATCAATTAGAAATGTAATCCGGCCTTTAACTTTAGCAGTCCGACTTATAGCTAACATGGTAGCAGGACACTTATTAATAACTCTGTTAAGCAACCAAACAGCAGCCGCCTCTAACTTAATCTTAGCTAGATTAATCCTAACCCAAATTCTTTTGTTAACCCTAGAATCTGCTGTAGCTATAATTCAATCTTACGTTTTAAAGGTCACTATTTATAAAATTATGAAGAGAGACACGGCTACTATTTGCATACGACTATAATTTTATATCCTGAATCAAGCTCAAGTTAAATTTTAAGAGCAACACAAATTTTGCTCTTAGAGTCGTAGTCCATTTAGAATATTATTCTGCTCGACCTGCTCTTCAATTATTACTTCGATGAGATAAATTAGTGTTTTGTCATCGACTTATCACTTCAATAGTGTGTAACTGCGATTATATTGAATTATAATTTAATTATCTTAATGAACTGGCAAGAAGTGTGGTTGTATGGAAATAGAGACGCGCTTGTTCGAATAAGGCTACTATTTGGGCAGGGCTACTATTTGAGCAGGGCTACTATTTGAGCACGGTCACTATTTACAAAATTTTGAAATAGACACGGCTACACTCTAAATAAAATCATTACCAAATCATTACCAAAATGCACACGTATATGACTCTGCAGAAACGGTAATAATAACCACCAGCCGGTAAAGAAATTAATTGAACCCGAAGTGGTAATAAAGAACACTTTTTGGGATAAAATTAATACCTTGATGTATGACAGATGTACTACAATATGTAGTAAAATGTCTACCGCCTGGTAATAAAGCATACCACTTTGTACACGGTGTGCTATTCATACCCGTATTAATGCTTTTCATATGCATACCCCATTATTAATAAATGTTGTGCAGATTTCCACCGAAAAGAATAGATTTTTTGCTTTTCTTTACAATAATCTTTCAATCAAAAATTATATTTATTGTAAAATAGTTTTGAAACATACATAATTATAAAATTTAAGTATAATGCAAACTATGGAATTACATACACACAACACACACATGTATACATATTTACACGAAGTTGAAATCTGCTCCGATTTCCAACTTAAATTTTTGTTTCACTGAAAAAATAAACGCATAAGATTATTATTAACTACTTCCTATTATTATGATGGTGTTCGATCACCATCTTGATAAGGCACCTACATACATGTGATAATTTGATACTTACCTGTTTCAACAATTCTATATAATTCCCAGAAGTTTTTATCAGTTTTTTCACTGATAAAAACTTCTGGACAGAATGGATTAATTTCGCCATGTTGACTTGAGTTGAGCTGAGCGGAAACTAAAACTGACAAATGCTCCACTGTTTAGCGTCTCACAATTATCACCAAATGTATTAAAATTCTTACCTCCATGGTAATAAACTACACCAAAATGTAGATCTCATTAGCACCAATTTGTACTGCGCTTTACAAAAATTATGGTAAAGAGTGTTATCTAAATTTGTAGGATATAATTACCGACTCGTAGGAATTTATTACCAAAATTATAAAGATAACTTAAAACATTGCGGTGGATGGCCAGTTACCCGGTTGGTATTGATACGGTACTAACCCCGTATAATTTTTGTAGGACGCGTAATTACCAACAGCTCGGTAAAGACGCTTATTAAGAATTCTTTACCAAGTTGCTAAGAGTGTACTATTTGAGCACGGCTACTATTAGAGCAACGGCTACTATTTGAGTTTTTACGGTAGTTTGAACCTTTACAGACTTTACAGAAGTTGAGACTTCTGAGAAACTACGGCACTGTCAGTCTCCAATTCTCTCAAATAATGCTGACGAGTTGAGACAGGTAATGCCGTAGCTTCCCAGAATTCTCTATTTGTGTAAAGGTTCAAACTTTGGTGGAACAAGAATACATTAAGTTTGGTCAATTTGGAATTAAATGAGTAAGAAATTATGTAATCCATATAAGGGCAAAACTAATATCAAACTTGCTGAAATTAACGTTGGTCACCTAATTCGTTGCTTTAAATACATAGCTTTAATTACATAGCTTTAAATTCTTTAAATTATTTTTTTTATTATATTCCAAATTCAGTTATTCTCCCGACAAATGAAGGACCAGGAAGTGATAATCATCGTGCATAAGGAAGGACCCTTAATCCCTCCAGGACCGCGGAGGAATATTTCATGGAAATCCGATTTCCTAGTTCCACACACCGTCCCCACAAATTTGGGAGCAGACGGGTGCCCATTCATTAAATTGTCGTACTGCATAATAGTAAGAAGACATTATAATGCTTTGCTAAAAATTGGGTATAGTCACGCAGGGATTGATTTCTCGGTATTGAAGTTGCTACCGCGTGGTAATACTGGTTTGTCAAAACTTGCTACTTAAATTAACTTTTATATTGAGCTATTACTAAACAGACGATGCTTATCAATACCACTTTGGTAGAGTTACACATATCGTAATACCATTTGGCCTTATTTTAATATTCGATTTCTAAGTGTTTCTAAAATTCGCATTTTCGTAAATCTTTAATTACCAAGATTTTTACGTGCAGGTTACCGTCGCCAAATTTGTCAATTTGCAAATCATGGTTCCCATACATATCGGGACTTCTGTCTTTTCTGACCTCGCTGACTTTGAGGAGGTCTCCCTCGCTTACAAGAGTCAGTTGCAACGCAGCCTTTCCGAACAGTCGCTCGCCTCCTGGGCCTCGTCTGACATTACATTTTCGAGCTGTTGGTCATTAATGGACGGTAGTGAAGGTGAAAGTGGTGATGATAGCATCAGCGTGGCGTCATCGTCCAGACCGCCATCGTACAATTCAGAGTGGAAGTTTGCACCTCTTGAGACGCGTAAGACATTAAATAAACGTCTATTTGAAATTTGACATTTATATTCATTTGACAGAAATTTGATGTGATTACAAATGTCGAAAATTTTAAGTTTTGATACGACGACTGGCCACTGAGTTTAAAAATATGTATGCCAATCACAAAATTCACAATTTCAGAGATCAAAATTCACATCAAAATTCGGATAATATGTACTTGGACAGGCTTATTTTTTATTTACATATGCATGTAATTGACGTATGTATGTATGTAATTTTCGTATAGCTCCTCCATCGTACGAGGACCCTGATGAATTGCCATGAAAGTGACCAGGCTGACTTGAAAAATACGGCTGGATCCGCTTCGAAAATTTTTCGCTTGAAATTCGGCTCTAATGGCGCATAATATGCGTCAATTGCTAAGATTACATTGCCGATTACCTATTTTAAATAAACATTGTATTCACCGGATTTTTAAAAGTTTAAACTTTGCAAGCACTTTTGGACAATGCTTACCGTGCAAGTATTTAATGCGTCTTGATTACTACCTACATATATTCTGCAGAATGATCTGATTGTTCCAAAAAAATCATGGGTTAATTGACTAATATGTATGAAAAGTTTGCCTGGTGCTGGGTTTGACATACTAATGTACAAAATTAAATATTTATGTGACTTAACCACTGTAATTTTTTCTAAATATGTATGTATGTCCTTTACCTGAAATAAATTTACAAACTTATTTGTACAGTATTATTCGCAAATTCGTACACATTTCTTTAGTTGTCTTTGAACTGCTATGTGGTGAATCGTGATGAAATTTCATTTTCATGAAGTGATGAGGCGAGATGAGACTTATTTATCTCATTTCATTCCATCTCATTGGAAATTCTATGTATACACAATGTATGTCCATAAGTCCATATACACATATGTACACAAATTGCACTGTACGTTCCAAAGCTGTATACCAAAAACAATAAATTTTTGAAATTTATGTTTAGGTTTACAAAATTTAGAACAGAATCTTAAGTTTTATAGGTTTACTTATGCACGTATGTATGTATGTAGCACCTTTATATGCGTTTGCCTGCAAATATTCAGAATAAACCGAATATGTGTACATACATACGTAGCAACTTATGCAATTTAAAAATATAAAATTCCAGCGTGTTAACTCTGTGAGCATTTAGCATGTTTGAAAATATGGATCTTCAATTCAGCTTTCTCCGGAAAACTTTCACCTTACTTACCCGGGAGATCATCGATGCCCCGATTTCACCATTGAAAACCTTTAGCATACTTACTTACTTTCCCCGCATAGTTTTTCATTTACTCTGAAATCTCGCAGCTGGGAGAACACTACTTTCTCCAACATAAAATTTATGCTTTTGACTGAGATAATTTGTCTATAAAAAACATGCTTAAGCGGTTGAAGGAAATTAATTTTGAGCGACGATCACTAGTTTTTTCGGCTGGAGAGACATTAAGAGGTTCATTAGTGTTTAATGGGACTGAGCGAACGTTGAATATTTACGGTGAGAAAATTGTAAATTAGTCAAGCCTTTTGAATTAAATAAGTATGTACTTCAAGTGTCTAGTTTTTAAATTTGGCAACACTTATTTGCAGATTTTAACATTATGCTAACAGGCGTTGTCCGCCAGTCGACACGTTATAGACCTTATTCTGAAGGCAAGAAATTCGTGGACGATTATTTACACAAAACTTTGACAACCTATTCAAAAACTAAGGTGACCAAAGGAGGCAAGTACTCAACTTTACTGTGACAATATTTTTTTAAATCTTCCATAAGTATGTTCATATAAGTACTATACTGATTTCATAATTGCACCTTATCGGCCAATTAAAATCTTCATGATTTCCTATAAAAGACGAAATATTTCTCAACCAGTTTCCAATTACGCTGTTATTTCGATAAATATTTTGTTGTTCCCTACAATCCCATGAAGAAGACAATTGTCGAAACATTGTGACAATAAATGCTTTTTTAGTTAACCCACCATGTCCGTCTCAACTGATTCAAAACATGATTTTATTAATGGCTGGCCCACACACATACACACACGCATTATCTGTAATTGCATTTGTTATTACGTGTGCAGACGATTTTGTATCAATTCCTCGCGCAAGTAGGGCTGACATCCCGTTCGAGTTGGACTTGCCGGAAACGTTATGGTCAACTTTCATCGGCGGTTTGGGATACACGGTTTACCGTGTCGTCTTCGTTGGCAGGCCAAACAGTCCACTTTTCTTCAAAGAATCGTTCCTTGACGTCCGTGAGATCGTCATCATTGGGTTAGCAAACCCAACTGCGGATGTGTTCATGGCACAATTTAATGACGTGAAGGTAATTAGAACTAATTAATTAGTAATTTCCACAATGTTAGAAATCTGATATACATAAAGGGTGTAAATTTAATCCGGTAACATTTTTCACTGCAAAGAAAATGCTTGTTTTTCGAAACTGCAGGTATTACAAAAACCAATTTTCCTCAGAAGTTACCTTACTATTTAGGCTGTTCACCACGTAGTTCGATCATGCCCTAAAGGTTATGCTTCATGCACTGTGCAATATGATTTTCGTCGTGCTCAAAACCCACAAGGTACCATAACTTCATACATGAATTTCAGGGCCCCTATCAAAGATTGGCTTAATTTCCTTGCTGTCCTGTATGTTCAATTTTGTCAGTGTAATTTAGGATACAACTCAATTTGCGAGTCATTGGTCCAGATCTGGACCAATCCTCTGGCCATATCCTCTGGCCAGAGGATATGGCGACAAAATTCTTGAGGCAGTCAAATCCCCATTATTTCATAGCTTTTATGTCAATACAACATTGTCATCAATATTTTCAGGGGACAGATGATTTTAATTGGTTAGATTATAAGTTCGGTCAACACATAATGCTGATCCGACGGTAGTTTTCACCACAATGGGCTATTTGTGCACGATTTTAATTTAATCCATTTTACGTTTTTCCGCTCCATTCCACTTTTTGGACAAAAACTTCAACTTAAATCAGGAAATTGGAGTATAGTCATTGATTTTCTGGTAGGTGGGACCCTTTTGGATTGTTCGGGTCATTTTTCAACCTTGAAAAAAATTGTCTTCCCTCATTTCCACGAACTTTTTCCGGCACATCCGAATTTTGGATGATTTTGATAATTAGTTGGAATTTCCCGCTTCTAAGACCTGCATCTCAATGTTATGTTATTTTTTATTAACACCTATGTTCATTCCACGTGTGCTAAAAATTTCAAAGAAAAACATTGGCGGGATCAATAATTATGACTGATTTTGTCTCGAGCGAGGATGGAAAAATCCATGTTACCGGATTAAATTTACACCCTTTACGTCGTTACGCAGCTATTGATTGTTCTGTATTAAATTTGCTACCTATTGGTATTAAAATTATTCTGGTTGGTAAAAATTTTCTATCGATATGGTAAAATTTTAATACCGAACTACGTATTATCAATTACATGATATTGCTTATCAGTACAACTTTGGTAGAGTCCGATGCATGTATACATATGAATACTGCTTGGTGTTACAGACAGTTTAGTATTGACAGGAAATGAAAATCAGTGTTTGAAGTTTTTTTTTGAATTTTTGGCATGAGACAGATTTCTGTATAAAATTTATTCAGGAATTCGTCACGAAATCGGGAGAATTAGCGAAACTGAGCGTTTCCATGGACAAGACTTATGCATCTCCGGGGGACACGGTGCCTTTTTCTGTGAATATCGAGAACGGTTTAAGGCTCCCTTTGGGCTCGGTGAAAATGGTATTTCAACAGGTGCACGACTAGTTACACTGCATATTCTATTGTGTAATAGATACATATGTTTTTTAATTAATATTTTTCAGAACGTTAGCTACCTATTCGGCAGCATGGGTTTAGCGCAAGTAAGATTATTAATTCTTACTTGCATTAAATTTTGTCAATTGGGAATTAAGAATTAGTAAAATACATATTTATTACTATTATTGTGACCAATGGTCACCTGCACATGTAATTCTTTGCTTTACGCAAATTTGTATTTTTACTATTCCAAATTCAGTTATTCTCCCGACAAATGAAAGACCAAGAAGTGATAATCCTCGTTCATAAGGTAGGACCCTTAATTCCTCCCGGACCGAGGAGGAATATCTCATGGAACTGCACTTTCCAAGTTCCACACACTGTCCCCACAAATATGGGGGCAGACGGGTGCAAATTCATTAAATTGTCGTACTGCATAATTGTAAGAAAAAGTTTTCACGTTCGGAATCTTGCAGGGCACTATTTCAATTGTCCATTTTCGCAAACTCATTGCCAACATTTTTTTGCGCAGGTTACCGTCGCTAAATTTGTCAATTTACAAATCATCGTGCCCATCCATATCGGGACGTCTGTGTTTTCTGACCCCTCTGACTTTGAGGAGGTCTCCCTCGCCTATAAGAGTCAGTTGCAACGCAGCCTTTCCGAACAGTCGCTCGCCTCCTGGGCCACGTCTGACATGACATCTTCGAGCTGTTGGTCGTTAATGGACGGTACTGAAAGTGAAAGTGGTGATGATAGCATCAGCGTGGTGTCTACATCGTCATCGACCCGACCACCATCTTACAATTCAGACTGGAAGTTTTCACCTATAGAGACGCGTAAGACATTACATAAATACATGCACATACACTATTGCCAAATTTGGTATTTGTATTCATTTGTTCATAAACATGGCGGAAATTTGATGTAATTAAGTCTCGTAAATTTTGAATTTCGATACGCCCTCTGAGAGAACTCGCGAGTTTAAAAGTATGACAAACACAAAATTCACGATTTCAGAGATGAATGCATGCACATCAAAATTCAGACAATAACGTATACGTGGACAAGCTTTAATACACATGCATGTAATTAACATGTGGAATTATCTTATAGCTCCCCCAGCGTACGAGGACCCTTGATAAATTGTCACAATGACAACGATGACTTGAAAACAGAACGGTTACGGCAGGATCCGCTTCGAAAATTTCGCTTGAAATTCAGCTCTAATGGCTTATACATAATGTATCAAAATGATATTCAAAATATCAAAGATTATTTATATTGCTAATTGCATTTTAACAGTGTTTAAACTTTCCATGCACCTATGAACAATATTTGTAATGCAAATATTTAATGCGTCTTGATCACTTTTATTCTGCAAAATGATCTTCTTGTTTTAAAGAAAATCATGGGTTGATGAATCGAAAATATTTTCATGGTCTGATACTGGATGACTAATTGGAGAGTTCAAAATTATTTATGAAATGTAATCGCTATAAATTTTTTATAAATATGTTAACTGCAATAAATTTACAGAATTATGCATAAATTCGTGCACTTTTGAATTTGTGGTACTCATTTAAATTAATTTAATCACTAATTTTTATGCAATCCAATTCAATCTTATTTCTGCTGTATTTTAATTATTCTATAAAAATGAGTGCTATCTGTAAATGGAAAATATTCGTCCATAATTTCCCCGATTTCAAATTGGCATGTCAGCAATTAGGTAACTGGGTCAAGTTTAATTTGCTTACTGGGAAATCTGCAATAATATTGAAGCAAACAATTTGCATGGAAGGTGCTATGCAGTTTTCCATGCAGTTTATTAACACAGAATTCGGTGAACTTGCCTACTTATCTGGATTAAAGAATATTTGCACTTATGGAAAAATGTGTAAAAATTATTAATGTTCATACAATTCTACGCAGCATTATATGCTCATATTTCCATTTGGGATTTTTAAATTCCAATTAATACATGGAGAAAGCGATACTGTGAGCAACTCGCCCCTTTGACGATGACGCGAATCTCATGATTTTATACACTTTCACCACTAAAAAACATGTGTTCAGTTCCCCATGTGCGTGAAGTTACTTAAATTTAACTATACTGTAATAATTAAGTCAATGTAGTTCCTGCGAGGACTCTAACTGAAGCAGTTAGAGTTCCTGGAAAGTGTATTTGAAAAAAAGCACACGTAAAACAGATGAAAAAGTGAGATTTTTGGAGCACACATGATTTCGTTGCAGCTGCCAAACGTGGTGGCTGCAACTCTCACCGCCACCACCACCAATCCCCACATATCCCCGCATCAAAAATGACGTTGGAATCACATAGGTGGCGTCTGCACCCCTATTTCTGCACCAGACCCACCATCGTAGAACCTAAAATTTGGGAATACGCGACTCCGAAATTGGGGTGCGGACGCCACCTAGGTGCTTCCAACGTAATTTTTTGATGCAGAATATGTGGGGATTGGTGGTGGTGGTGGTGAGTCACGGTGGTGCACCACCGTCGTGGAGTGAAGCACGCACTGCTTGGGCGTGCAGCAGCTACACGCGCTGCGTGAATACTACCGATTAAGGGGGAGAAATGAACCCTCTATCGATGCGTTTTTCCCAGCGAATACAGATCACTTATAGGATACCATGATCATTGCGTTTTTCCTTATGCACTTTCCGCGAACCCTTTCTGGCTCACTCCAAATAAAAAAAGCCAGGTGGGTTCCCCGCGTGAACTATCAATGTATGTACCCTCATTATAACAACAGAATTGTGTCTAATTTTGTCCATAACTTGTCCTCCTTAATTACAGAACAATCTCAAAATGCTGGTCGATCTGTCCTCATCTGCGGAAATTGAGTGGAAATCGTTAAACTACTTATCATCGTGTAAAAAGTGCTGGAGCTGTCTGACCACGAATGGTGATGATAAGTCCTCTCCCACTATTTCAAGTCGTGGTGGCGACAAGGTCCTGGAACACGTTTTACGACGGGAACCCACCTTTCGCCACATTCTCCTCCTCTTGACCACATGCAAAAATGAATTTCACCTCGACATGGACGACTTTTTCCAAAACTGTTGCGTCCCATGTGCAGAAATATTTCAGGATTTGGTCCTCCTTCAGGAACAACTTCAAAAAGTGGATGCAAAGATTTGTACCTATTTCGAAATGTTAAAGGACAAGAGGAAGAACAAATCGATGGCGTCGTCATCACCTGTGTCTAATTCGTTAATTGACGTGGAAATGAGTACCTGGGGAGACTTTTTGTTACAATAATAATACTAATTTGTTGAATATTGATTATTTTCAGGGTTTCGAATGGACACAGGCTGGACAAAATGATAATGAAGACAAATTAGGTCGAGATGATGATGATGAGGTGCAACGTGTCGTGGTAAGTGAAAAATTTACAAGGGTTGTAAATAAATAAGTGCCCTAGCAAATTTATCATGTATTCTTTGTCCATCAATTAGTTGGAAGAAGTAGACATAAAAGAAGAAGAGGAAACTTGTGACAAGGAGGAATTTATGCTGGGGCTTATTAAGTACGCAATAGAGGAGGATGAGGACCGTGATGTCGAGATGGGGGACGAATCTGAACCAGAAATAGAACCAAATCTCGACTTTGACCCGTTAGATTTTTCTAAGTACTGTTTAATTTAACATAAACGTACGTATGTTATATACATTCGTTAAGCAAACTTTAAGCAAATCGATGTATTTTTATATTTCTAGTGAAAATTCATTACTCAACGACGACGAAAAGATAAATACTGATGCCGAAATTGCTTCCAGCACCACATGCCCCCGGAAATCCCGTCGTCGTCTTGGTCGCATCAACCCCAGCGTTAACCGTAATAACATTACCTGTCCCCCTCCCCCCGGTAAATCTATCCCACCAACGTCAAATTCGCCCGTTGGAAGTACCACCGCTTCCTTCTCACAAGAAAATGTAACACCCCTGTCCCCACCGTGACCTCGGCAAAGGTCCCCTCCTCCATAATTATTAAAAAACGTACCACTCACCGCAAAAAATCGTTCCGCTGCTCCGCTTGCGGTAAATTGTTTTCCTCCCAAGTCGTCTTAGTCGGTCACGAACTTCTCATCTGCAAAGTCCCCCTCGATCGGAACAACCTCCCCTGCAAGATAACCCTCTATCCATGCACCGTGGGGGAATGCAGGGCTGAATTCTACGCCAAAAAAGACCTCGTCCGTCACACCGTCACACATACGGACGCCCACCCCTTCTCGTGCGAAAAGTGTGACGCCACCTTCAGGCGGCAAGACTCAGTCATAACGCATGTCCGCTATTCCTGCAAATATGGACCACAGTTGGATCGCAAAAAACAGAACAGCGTCCACCACAAAGAGATAAAGTGCGAGTTGTGCGGAAAGACGTTCGCAGGGAGTTTGCAGGACCACAAGAATCGCGTACATTTGAAGGTGCAGCGCTTCTCGTGTCATTACTGCGGGATAAAATTTTATCATAAGAACGACCTCAGGAAGCATTTCCAGGGACAACATGAGAACAAGGGCGAAGCTGAGATGGGGTTTGACGAGTTTGTAAAAGTTTCCACGCTTGCGGGGAAAACGAGGGGGGCGAGTAAATGATGACCAATGCTTGGTATGTACCAAGTTATGTATGCATTTACAAATAAATTAATAATTAAGTACAATAAAAACTTTCTAAATTTTCATGAAACACGTTGTTACTGAATCATAATTTTGCAAATGTAGAAAAATTGTTAAAACTGCCTTATTTTTAACAAATTGCGATAATGAGTTATTATTCATTGCACAATTATACTCTAGAAAAATTACTTGTCCAAATTTCCATGCAAATTTCAAATTCATGGAAACATTTAGTACCATGCAAACCTAATATGATTTTACCAAACACTCACCACACTCTCGAACAGTGCACAAATCTACCATACTTATTACATACAAATTGCAATAATAATATAATGCTTCTACAAATCATTAGACTTCCAAATTTCTGGGCTTATCGCATTGTCTTTTTCTTATCAATACCAGAATGCGCCATCAACATGCAAAATTTGTAAAGCGAGAAACCTGCAACTAAAAATTTTAGGCTACTGCTGTCCAAACACATCCAGTCAAAAGCTACTCTGTTTTGGGTTTGGGCACCCGTGGCCGTGCTTAATTCATATGCGTCAAGTAATTGCATCACATTAGTATGTTTTCTGAACTTGTCTTATCAATTTTTGAAACTTTTAATACATCATTATCGTCCTTATGAGCTTACTTATCCGAAAGTATTAACTACGATTTGCTAACTCATATAAGGAGGGTAATAACAGTATGTAAACTAAAATAAGGTTTGGGGAACTGAAAGGGTAAAAGAGTGTATTATAAATATGAAAAGCTCTCCAACTAACTTTGTCCTCCTTCGGGAGGACATATACTAAAATTGGAACGATACAGAGAAGATTAGCATGGCCCCTGCGCAAGGATGACACGCAAAATCGTGAAGCGTTCCACATTTTTTTGACACTTTTTTATTTGGCAAAATTTCCACAGAAAATAATATGCAAACATTTGAAGGGACTTTTATTTTATTTTATAACAGACATTAATGTAAGAGGAATTCTTTATTCAGTCCATGCGTAAAAATGAAAATCGTTCCATATTTTTGAAAGCTTTGTATTTTGCAAAAAATGAATTATGAATTTCCATAATGAACTTATTACTGGAGATGGTGGTATTTTTGGCGAATTAGTGCTTATCTAATTACCAAGCATGTTCGAGCATACAATATGTATCTCATATTGTATCTCAGAATGTAATTAACATAATGAGTTAGTAAATTCTTTACGCATAAATTAAATTATGAATTATAATCCCAGTGTGTCAAATTGTCACAGAGTCACAGACAATTCACGCAGTCATTGGAAACTTGTAAAATAATTTTGCAAAAATCTACAAAATATAATGACGCCCTTAATCTGAGTAACTTTACAAAAATTTCTAAACAAATTTTGCCTAGAAATGTTTGTAAAAGTTTGCTAGTTTACAGAATTTACAGATTTTACTGTTACCAAGACCTGTGTGAATTTCTTCAACATTTTAAAATAAGAATTGAATATGTACACTTTAGAATTTACCGTCATTGTAAAATGTAAAATGCATTAAGTAGATTTCTTTAAATACATAATCCAACATCGCTTACAGTAACATGTAATAAAAAAACGAACAAATGCTCGAATCTGCTCAAACCCGGTGATCATACCCGCTCCAAGGCTACAGGGTGCTCCACGTTATAAATTACAGGTATTTACCGATTTCTCCTGTAATTTACTACAGCTTGTGCTTGTAAATAATTTTACAGTTTGGGTACAACCAAAAAATATGTCTCACTTATCGGCGTCTTTCTCATGAATCAGTCATGAGTGATGATTCATGAGAAAGATTCTAAAAACAAATATATCATCAAATCAAATACGAAATGAATACAAATTAAAATTGTGAATCCAAACTTTTCAAAAACTGGCAACCTAATTATAATTTATAGAGTTGTGTGTATAATTTTTTTTCGAATTGTGGCATCAAAAAAAATTATGATATCGTGCCTATGTTAAAAGGAGGGCTAGAAAATCGCGATTTTTCTGTTACATAATTTATGAATGGCATCTAGTACAGACAATCATCAAGTTTTCATGCAAGTTACATATTTTCGGCAAAGTTTCCATGAAAATGAGTCAATTTCATGACTTATTTATATAACTGATTTGTTCCGATTATATCGGATCACCCTGTACGAAACACATGTTGCCCACTCTACACGCAAATAATAAACACTCCACTCTTGCCACGTTATGTTCTTTCTCTAAAAATTCCAGCTTATCAAATTGAGTAATGTTTGACACACTTCCCAACAATGAGTACCACCCCTTCGAACACCGTTCCTATTTCTGAGCTCAATAAATGGTGCGGATTAAGCTGTTTGGATGAAAAATATAAGCACAATGTCAAACTTGCTTATTTGGCACGTAAGTTGTAAAACAAATAAAACAAATTGTTACTTTAAAATTTGCAAGATTAAAAAATCAAGAAAGTTTATTGGCATAATGATTTTGTGGACAAATACAAATTTTCACTCTCATGTTTGTAAACCGTGTAAAATCTTTGAATTTGCAAACGCTTTGCAAATAATTTTGCAAAACGTATGTAAAGCTTAAACCATTTGCAAATAAAGTTAATTCTTCCAAAATTACGCTCTCAATTAATTATTTACCTAATTACTTAATTAATTCCTCAGATAAAGTCGCCGCTCTCGTCACCACTTCAGACGACGTTTACCTCGTCGGCCGAAACGAACACGGCAGCCTGGGTACCGCCAGTGGGGCCTCATTCCATACAAAATACCCCATCAAAATCGAATCCCTGTGCAAAAAAGGAGTCTGTGGTACTTAATTTCTAAATTTTCACATTTTCATCATTTCCCAAAAATATTAACTTATTTCTTTACAGCCTTTTCCTTCTCCCGTCAAACCAAACATCACGACTTCCTCTCCCTCTTCGCCCTAACTGGAGACAACCAACTCTACGGTTGGGGGTACAATTCCGAGGGGAACCTTGGTCTCGGATTCGCCTCAGACGAGCCCCCTCGCCCCACCCGAATTCCCTTCCCCCCCACGGCGAAACCCGTCCACCTCTCCACCGGCGAAGGCCACACCGTCACGCTCACCAAAGACGGCAAGATTTTCGCCTTCGGAAAAAACACCCACGGCCAAATCGGCAACGGTTCCACGCTCGATCAGGTCCAAGTCATCGAAGTCAAGTTGACCATCACGCTGGACGCGCGGCGACAGATTCGCGTGAGTCAAATCGCTTGTGGGTCGTACCACTCGGTCGCGTTGTCCGATGACGGATCGGTCTACACTTGGGGGGCCAATGATAAAGGTCAGCTGGGCGAGGGGTCAAAAATCGGGCAGAATCCTACCCCCAAAAGGATCCAGATGGAGGACAAGGTCATAAAAATATCTTGCGGGAAGCATCACACCTTAGCGTTGACGGAACACGGGGAAATTTACACGTGGGGGAGTAACCACCATGGCCAGTTGGGGATTGGATCGACGAGTAAGAGCCGGGCCCCCGTGCGGATCGAGATAGAGACGCGGGTCACGGATATCTTGGCGCATGGGTCGATTTCGTCATGTAGGTTGGCCGGGACGCCGGGGGTGATCGCGATGTGGGGGAAATTGCCAGAAATTACGGGGAAAGCGGTGGATTATCCGTGGGAAACGTTGCTGGGTGGGATGGAGGATGTGTTTTCGAGCTGGGATACGGATCCGGGGACGCCGAGAGGTTTGAGGGGGGAGGTGGGAGGAGGGGGAGGAGAGGATGCAAATTTGATGAGGTGGACAGGACTGAAATGCGTGGATTACGGGACGATGCCCGCCCTCAAGTTGGCCTTCGTGTACGGGTCGGGTTTCGAACAGTCGGCCGTGCTGATTAGTCGGGAGGAGGATGACGTCTACTTTGTGGGGCGGAGTGTTCATGGGAGTTTGGGGAGTGGGGCGAGTACCGAGTTTGAGACGAGGGTGCCAATTAAGAATATTAATTTGAGTGGGAAGGGGATTTTCTGTGAGTGGGAGGAGAGGTTTATGGGCAAATTTTTAGCTAAATTTTCTTATGCTAATTTTCTTTGCTAATTTATCCTAAAATTTGCTAAAGTAATTCATTTAAAAATGTGTGTAGCTTTTAAAAAATTGATTTCCTTTGTTATCACTGGCGTCATTAGTGGGAAAGATTTTTCTTTTAATTTGCTAATTTTATGGCGAAATGCATTTAAGTATGTAAAATTTATTGTTTTTTTCGAAATCACTCTAAAATTGGAACGGGACAAATTCAGTTACACATTTTTGCAGCTGTGTAAAATTTTGATCTGCAAGATGCGAGAGATTTTTGAAAAATTTACAAATGTAAAATTTACTACACTAAGATCTGCACCTGTTTTCACATTTATAAAATTTGATTTCCTATTTTTTCTCAAATCACTCAATCTGTTAATCACATGTGAACTAAAATGTGCAAATATTTTCTCCAGGGATCGACTATGGTCTCGACGTCGGTGGGGGTTGCACCTGTCTGTTCGCCTTGACAACTTCTGGCTCCGTCTACTCCTGGGGGTACAACGACTTTGGTGAGCTAGGTCAAGGTTTCTCCTCCCTCGAGCCGGGCGTTCCGAATAAAATCGACACGTTTGGTGACACCATTAAAATTACACAAATCGCATGTGGCTCTGACCACGCTTTCGCAATTTCTGAAGAAGGTCATCTTTACGCGTGGGGGTACAATTTCTACGGCCAGCTGGGCACAGGCTGTTTAGACGATCATGTCCCCAGGCCCGGACGTGTGACAGGATTCAGGTCAAATGCCACCACCATCGTGTCCGTGGCTGCGGGGATGTTTCATTCCGTTGCTGTCACGGCGGATGGTCATGTAAGTCGATGGGCGAGTAATTTATTGTTAAAATATTTGCAAAATAATTAAAGCTTTTGTTCTAATATTAGAACAAAATTTAAGCAATATTGCTTAAATTGACCCACATACTGATTGCGAACTGAGTTTTGATACGCTTTTAGGCAGATTCGAGATATTGATGTGCGTGCAAATTTATAAGACTCGTTTTTTAGCATTTTTTTAAATTGTAAATTTGCAAATTTTAATCCAAATCTTCATGAAACGTTTAATTTGTTAAAATTTAAAAAAGTGTGCACATAATTTTCTATGCGAATTGTTTGCAATTTCAATTTTATGCGAAATTTTAGTCAATTTTATGCGAAAACAAATCAACATTATTGCTTTCCCCAAAATACCAACTCACATATTTTTTTATCTCTTCCAGGTTTACGCTTGGGGTCAAAACGACAAGGGTCAACTTGGCCTGGGGTGCACCGAAGCGTACTCCGCGACCCCAATTTTCGTCACCTTTCCTGCCTCCCTCTTCCCAACAAAAAGTGTCGCCTGCGGACCCGACTCCACCCTCGCCCTCTCCGCCGAGGGGAAACTCTGCTTCTTCGGCCACTGCAACTACACCCCCGACATGGCCGACAGGAAAGGTCTAGTTTTCCAAATCTGCACCGATCTCGACCCAACCGACCCCATCGTCGACTTCGGCACGAAACACTGGGCGACCCTGTACGCCTGCCAGACTGAAAGCGGAAAGGTTTACCTTTGGGGAAAAGTGAGGGGTGGGAAGAAACGGAGTTTGTACGAGGAGACGAGAGCATCTACGGTGAACGACGTTTTCTCCATGTTTTCAAATCCCCCGGGTATGATAAGACCCTTGACATTGTCGGAATAAGATTCATTATTTTATTTTTAACCGGTTGAAATTTAGTCAGTATTTAAATAATTAATTGTTAATTGGACGAATGAATGTTAATTTTGTACCTGTGGAAGTTTTAATTAAAGAGATGTAGTCAAATAAATAATTTAAGTGACGAGTCCAAAGTTAAAGGATTTTTTTTATCAGAAAATTATTTTATTTTGTTCATAAATGGGTACAACCGAATCCAACATTTAGAATATTTAACATAAATATTTATAAACAATTATATAGGCACCAATTCTTTAATTACAAAAATACACCCTATTTTTCAAATGGCTCAAAAACAGAAAAATTACAGCCAAAATATTGACTTAAAACATTCTTAATATTCCCATCGAGCTTTGACCCTTACTCACAATATAATCGATCACCACAAAAGCATCAAGTGCGATGTATTTATTTTTCTCCCAATAAAATTCCTTACATGAGAAAGATTACAGGAAAAAAGTAGGTATTCTATTTTCAATTTAGTCACACAACAAAATTGGCATGCACTCCCTAAACCGTTACAAAAGAAAAATCAATCATAAATGGTAATCGTTTAATCAATTGATAAGTGTTCGATGCGGAATGTTTTCCACACGATGCATACCCATTGTTGTTTAAATATTTATAAGTAGATCTCACCGTGTGCAAAAATTCATATAGATATTCATACTTAATGCTTTTGATTTATCTCATCAATAATAACTAGTTGCATATTTATAAATATTTTGCACACGGGAACTCCATAAATCTTTTGCATATCTAGGTACACAAAAACGTACACACTAAGATCAAAAAATATGTATGTACCCATTCCAGAAAAATATTTTGCAAAAATAATCCGACAATTGTTTAAGGTTTTATTTCATAGTTTTATTTCATAGATGAATTCGAAAATATTTTTACATTGTGGACTTTAATAATTCAAAATTTCGGATTTCAAGACTTCCAAAGACATCCAAAAATTAAATCCGTACAGTAGGCGGTATCGGAATCCAGACACTCCCATCGCTTCCACGCAACACATTTTGCACCGTATACTGACTCGCTTCCTCCCCCGTGAGTTGCTTACTCCAGGCCACCCGGTCCCCCGTGTCGACGCCTTGGGTGCCATACTCGGCGTAAAAAGCGGTCGCCTCATTGTCCGGATTGTCCCAATTATGCCATCCCGCGGGATGAATGTGACTCCGCATGACCGTGTTGAGGAACACCGTTTTCGCCCAGGGTCGCCACGGTCGTCCTAAATAAACACTGGTCGCATTCTCGTTCGCGGTAAGGCTGCAGTTTCGAAACACGTAGCCATACGCGGTCCCCTCCGGCGTGGAGGCGGCCGTGATATAAGAATTTTTCAGACTGCGGATCAGACAGTTTTCAAAAAGCGCGGTGGCCGCGCCGAATATGAAGTCGGTCGTGCCTTCGATGAAACAATCTTTATAGTACTGGCGGGATTGGCGGCCTCCTTCGATGGTAGGGTAGAGGGTATCCTAGCAAGGAGGTTATTTAATTGGCGGGAAATTTCAAAATCATGTCTGAAACGATTACCTGATTCCCAATAATATCGCAGTTCGTTATAATCACGCGATCCGCGACGACATGCAGCGCCACGGCTTGGGCGATCGGTCCAGCCGAGTTTAAAAATGTTAATCCCGTCGCCATGAAATCGTTGCCTCTGACCAAAACGGAGTACGACGTTCCCGTCCCCACCTCGCCCCCACCGGGCAACGGTTTTCCAGAGTAGTCATCGTAAGAAATTATCGTTCCCGTCCTGCTCTCCCCGATAAATGTGATGTTCGTCTTTTCAGCAGGAATTATCAATTTCTCGAAGTATAGTCCGGTCCGGATATAAATCCTGATGGGGACGGGGGACTGATTTGGGGTCGAATTTAGGGCGGCTTGTATCGTCGTAAACTGACCAGAACCATCCTTCGCGACGACGATGTCCCACGGTTGACCTGAAGTTTTAACAAAAAACAAAATTAATAGGGACAAAATTGCTAATCACATCAATATGTATGTACCAATACCTTTTACGTCAACGTATAGCATGGCCATGACATAAAGTAATTTCACAATTTCCAACATTTTCTTATATGATAAGTTTGTAAATATATATATTAGGTGGATCCTGTAAAAATACTAAACCGTAAAGGTAAGGATGCCTCCAGTTTTATACATTTTGACAAGAGCACGCAAATCAGCGAGAGATTACGATATCTTTAGAATGACATGATTAATTATGATAAAACGAGATTGAGTGATTTATGTATTGTCCTTCGAATGGCTAGTTTGGATTCTTTTATGTATTTAGTTATTAGCGCATGAGTTACAAAGATCATTTCTAAATATATAGAGAAAAACGTCTATTATCTAACCTAACCCAATAATTTTCTATTCATTTTATTTGCAAAATTGTAGAAATATAAAGTAAGATTGTTGCAAAACCCTTTAATTCCAAACTATCGGCAAAATGACGCCATCGCTAATTTGTCGAAGGCTTCCCTGCCCAATGATTCGACCAACTCGGCGGAAGACAAAGTTACTATGAAGAGTCGGTTGTCTAGAATAAACTTTGTCACCTCCTCCTCCAAATCCTACATTGGTAATCCAATCACATCGATTATAATTAATTACTAATAATGTTGAAAAAATTTGTAAATTCGCTCAAACCACGAACCATAGCGTTGGCTGAGGCAGCATTTTTAAGCAGAAAAAAGGCATTCGTCGTGTTGATATTTTGCATCAGAATCTTCTCACATTCTCGCCGGATTGTCACCTCGCAATAGAAATCAGCTAATTTCATGAGGCCTGCAAAAATTTAATAAAGAAGTCATATTTTGAATTTTTGACAAATACATACTAGAAAAAGTACAAATTTTGTGACACAATGTCCTTTACTATAAAGTTTTTCGTAGTCGCTGTTCGAGAAGGGGATCCTGTCATGGTAAATGTAAAAGAGAAAAGCTTCGAACACGTCGTACTTCGTATCCTTGATATAAACAACCCTGCAAAATTTACCCACAAATAAATTTTCACGCCACGTGTCGCACATAAGAATTTCCATTATAAATATATTTGTCAAACTCACGACCCCTCATTTTCGGCCCACTCGCCTCTAAACATTTTTTCGAAATATTCGCTCCGCAAAGTCACGATCAATTTATGGGCGGTAATGATTTTCCCTTCCACGGAAAATTTAACATCCGCATTTTTCTATACATACAGCAAGTAAAATATTAGAAACCTCAAATTTTGAAATACTTTCCACTCTGCTCAAAATTACAGACCTTGGTACTCCACAAGGTGGAAATGTCATCACCCAATTTACGTGGTTCAGGTTCACGGGCGACCAACATAGTTCGGTAACTCTTCTGACAAACTTCCGCAAAAGATTCGTCCAACGAAGTGGATTTTGTAAAGAATGGAGCACTCCAAGGAGCCCGATTTCCCACGTAACGGCCAAGACGGATCTCAGTCTTCAACTCGACAACGCTAACATCTTCCAACACACAGGTGGCGATGTCTTGAACGTTTTTGTAATCTGGTACCGGCATCCATACTGGATCCGCATTTCCAGAATCTGAATTCTCAGAATCCCACGAGTACATTGTTCCAACAACAGTCAATGCGAAAATGGCATTCTCGCTTGCCGTTATCTATGCGCAAATAAATGAGTAAGTAAAATATGTATATGATACGTGTTTAAGTATCAATTTATGAAATATATGTTTAATAATAAACTTTACTATAAAACAGAGTTTAAAAACTTTATTAAATAAAGTTTTTAAACTCTGCGCGTCACAACTACCTTTTTAATTGGTGAGCAGGTACTTAGGGCTGATTTTCGTGGCCCAGCTTGGCACAATTTCCATTCGAATAGCTGTTTTAAAACATGTTTAAATTAGTTTCCTAATACACTTTTGTCTTTTCCTGCATCCCTACGACATTAAATTTTTGCCGTCATACATATTTACATAAGTCCAATGTTCGGAGCATTTATGCCTGTCCAAAATCCTGGGCATTATACATACATCTTAATTTGCCACCGAGCTTGGAACGTACCTCTCCATCCTCAGTTAAGGCGACGTTCAGGTATTCATTGCCAGCCACAGAGATAACCTTCTTGTTATCAAATTTCTCTCTTGCAATCAAGGTTGGTGCGTCTTTCCAAATCCAGTGATGGACGGTGCCACCCGAAGTTAATGCCAGGACACCCTCCACTGATGATGACACTTGCACTACTTTCTGTCCAGTCAGACTGCCCTTTGCAGGGTGAACAACGAAGGACGGACCAGTCCTGTGCCAGGAATAGAGGTGCCCGTCCTCCGTTAAGGTAAGACCAGTTGATCCAATAAAATGTTCTAGAAACAGTAGAAAATTCATGTTATAATAGGTAAATTAAATTTTAATTGTAACGTAAACACAGAATATAGATTCTACCAGAAGAATCGATCTTATGTATTCGAGTGACGCTTATGGAAGAACGGGGAGAGCCAACCAAATAACTCGGTGTACATTTGGCCCACCTGGGGGATGGCACCTCCGCATCATCATCATCACCACATTTCCTGGCATCAAAAAATGATGATGAAAGCACATAGGTGGCGGTGGCACACCCATTTGTGCACCAGAACACACCCTCGTAGAGCATCAAATTTGTGGAGACGCAGCTCAGAATGGTGTGTTCTGGTGCACAAATGGGGGTGCCACCGCCACCTATGTGCTTTCATCATCATTTTTTGATGCCAGGAGATGTGGCGATGATGATGATGCGGAGGTGCCATCCCCCAGGTGGGCCAAATGTACACCGAGTTATTTGGTTGGCTCTCCCCGTTCTTCCATAAGCGTCACTCGAATACATAAGATCGATTCTTCTGGTAGAATCTATATTCTGTGTAACGTAAATAATAATTAATTACCTTTCACTCGGACGCCACACAATTCCGGAATTGTGGTAATTTTCACCCCACCAACCTCGCCACGGTAGAAACAATAAGTCTCGTCCTCCATGGTGACGACCAGCCCCCTGATATCGTGAGCATGTACCAATTTCGCCCTCTTCAAAATCTCCTCTCCTTCGGGTCCCACGTCGCTAAAAATTTCCCAAATTTTCAACTTATCTTCTGGAATGATGCCATGCAACGAGGTAGGTGGGTCCATTGTAAGTAGTGACTAACTCTAGTTATCAGCTAGTGTAGTGTAACTGATAAGATAAGATGTGAAATAGATAAAAAAAAAGTTTATTTGTATTTGACAAAAAAATGTGTGTCCGATCAGCAGGGATTTGTCTTCGTGGACCTTGAGTGGGAACATGAGACATGATTCATGAGCGAATTTATCTAGAAAAATTTGTAGATAATTAAACTATCTACAAATCTTTCTAAACAAATTAATAATTAGTAATTAGTAACTAATTCTTGGATAAGTACACTTATCTTACACTTACACTTAAGTACACTTAATTAGACTAGATAATTAGGCGTGAGTTAATACTTACATAAAAACGTATGCAACATGATCATTTGAGCCTTACTTCCTTTTTGCATGTAAATTATTAACTCGAATATGCCATGCAAGTGACTGAACCGTAATATTAAGTTTCTATGGACTGAACGTTCACAATTTGTGAGTCACAAAATGATACATTTTCTTCCATAAAAGGACTAACAAAAACTAAATCCAGACCTTGCTTGCAAATCATTTTTCTCTATTACATGTCACCTTATTTCCAAAATTTTAGACGCATAAAGTAAAATTTTTGTTGAACCCTTTGCGAGAGATATAAAGTTTATTCAGCATGAAAAGTCAGTATCGCCGAAAATGGGCATAGTGAGATTTATGCAAACGAGATGATACCCTTAAGTAAAAGGATAGTACATTAAAGACGTTTACTTGTATTCTCTTTACTGTTTTGATACCTAGACACGTTTCAAACCTGTATTTTACATAATGTAGTTACATAATGTAACGCGTCCCTTTTTAACATATGGCGCAAGTTGACCTGTACGTTGACCGGTTGTATTTTATCAACGTTCCTTATGTACCGAATCCCTTGCTCATTCCTTGAACTTTTTTGACTTCTTAACGTTCGTGTGAGGGCTATAAATTTCTAGAAGAATATCTTACGTTGTTTGCTTAATTTCACATAATTTCATTTTCGTCGCGTTGCTTATCGTTTCGAATCGCTTAAAAAAATGCACATTTCATTACAACTGTGTTTTGCAGATTTTATTTCCCAATTTTTTGCATAAATATATTTATGCAAATATTTTGACCCCGTCAAACATTCTTAATCAATCCAATCGCCACTAGATATGTAAAATAATAATGCAGGTGATACATATGTAAGTAGTACTTATTAAGTCCTACACAAATAACTAAAAACGTCCTCGTTTTTCCATCTCACTCGGTCTGTAACTAAAATGGATAAGTAAAAACTTTAAATGTACAGCAAAATGCCCACGAATGTATTTGTCTGATCAGTTTTAATGGACTTCATTTCTAGAAAATTCGGTACGACGTGACAAATCGGATCTGATGTGAATTCTCTGATTCGATTTGAGTTCCAAACTCTTTCACCATTCTGACCGGTACGACCGCATAGAAAGGCGAATCTTCCACGTATTTCGGTCGATCGTGAAACGCTACGATCGGAATGGTCCATGAGGCTTCGACCTATGGGAAATATTTTAATCTGGATTAAGTATCTAATCTGGCAGATTATTTCCGTTAAGAATTATGTACCTTCTTCCCATTTTTCAGTGTTTTAAACACTTTCAACTCGAACATGTACTTCTCCGCAGTTTCCTTGTTGCCCAACACGGTCATCCAAAAGTAGATAGCATCCCCAGTAATCTGACTCAGCAAGAGAAAAGTGTGTCCATCATTTTCCAAAATGCCGGCTGGAATTAACAATCCAGCGTGAACTGGGGAAAAATTAATTAGGTAAGGTCTTATCTGTCACACCTTTTAAAAATTACTGACGCAAACCATGTTCAACTGATTATTTTTTGACCGTTGTCGTTTGAAAGAGCAACGCTTTAGCCGATGTCGACGCCGTCGATCGTACCCCTTTGATCACCGGTGCATTTTACGCGCCGCCACCGCCGATAAATTTGATTCCGCCGAAAATTCATCGCAAATTGGTCGGCGTTTACATCTACCTTTTACACACAACATTTAGTTCGGTACTTGCGCAAATGCGAAAAATTCTGCACGTGGTGGGCGCCGCAAGTTCGCGAAAACCCTGAGGTTTAAAGCGGAATTTGTGACTTACTGTAAGTCACAAATTGAACTTAGGACCCCACGATAATTATGGAACATTAGACAAATAGACCGTAGTAACGTTAGAAGTAGCTCACCCTGTAATATTGACTTGGCTATAACTTTGCACCAAATATGCGGAGTTACCCGACAAAATAGATCCATCATTCCATGGTGTTTATACAATTCTGCACCAATGATACAGAATAAACGAGTAAGATACATAAAAATGGTTTGTATTATTTTCGGATTTTCTGGTCTAGACATATTTTAAAAATCCCGACATAGTCAAATTTTGAACGTTAAAAGTATTTGGAAAGACAGTTTTTGTAAATTTATGGAAGTAATTTTGAGCAAATACGTTCTTTTATGTTTAAAATAGGATTACAAATTCAAGATTAACAACTTTTTGAAAAATCCTGAATTGGCTGAAAATGTATTGAAAAAAATGTATTGAAAAATTCTATCACAACCGAAAATACGAACATTCAGAAAACGAAATTTACATGTTGGGTTGTTTCAGTGTGTGAGCAATTAAAAATTGGTAGGGTAAAAATCAGAGGAAATGATTTCATGTCCACTCGTTTTAACTTTTAACGGAATTATGATGGAATTCGTAAGCGAGAATCTGTATTTTTCTCCCTCGAGAGCAAATTTCACGGTCAAAATGGAAATTCTCTCTCACGGATTCCGTTATAATTTCTTTTAAACTGGGCATTATGAAAAATCCTGAAATACGTTTTCTTTTATTTGTCTAAGGTTCCATAATTATCGCGGTTTCCTTAAAATCGGAGAGGGACGGCTGGCGTCATAGAATTGTTAGTCTGACTGCTTCAGGCCCAAATGCTTACAATTGTATGCATATTTTTTTATTCATACCGCTTGGTTCAATTTTAAAAGTATTCTAAGAATTAAATGAAATTGAGTTTTGAGACCTGCATTTTCGCCAATTCGAAACGAGTCTGGCAATTTTTCAAACTTTTAAAACGGATAGAAAAGTAATTAATCGCAAAGGGTTTGGGAACTTTGGGAAGTAAGCGAAAAGTATTCACATATTTATACAACTTCGGTGCATATAATTGAATTTTCCCCGTCCCGCCGAGGTTTTCAAAAATATGGCTGAGTTAAGAGCGCAAGTAAATTGTCACCATTTTCCTATGAAACTGGGAAAATAATGTACTCTTAATACTCGTAGAATATTATCTACTTCGTTCCAGAATGCTCTAGTATTCTGGAGCGAAAACGATAACGTAATATCGAAGATATTGAACTTATGAAAGGGCCCGGCACTGAAGCTCATACCAGGCCTGACAATTTCACGGTACCGCTCTGGACTTACATACGTAGCAGCTCAGACTTTTCTCACATTAATTCCTCTTGAACAATTTTCGCGAATTTGCGGCGACCGGAATTCCCTTAATTTTGCACATCTGCGTACCTTCCGCACTAAATATTGTTTCTAAAGATTTTCTCTCAGGGATCAATGCCGACCAATCTGGCATCGGTCACTTTTAGGCGGCACGGCGCCCTAATTTTATACGAATTGGAAATCAGATCTATCGACGGCGTTAAATACAAGCCGCGCGACGGGGTACAGTCGGCAGCGTCGACCTTTGGTTGCTCTAGCAAACTGAGATGCCCAAAAAATAACCTGGCTTAAACATAGTTTGCGCCCACATAGTGAATATGTATGTACCAAATAGATTGTCATCCGTTAATGTCAACGTGAAACATGGGAAGGTTGGCATAACGCACTTGTGCCGTTCTTGTAAATGCTTGCCGTACTCTTTAAGAGGCACCTTTGCATCATCACAACGTCCAGATTTCGACTCGGTGCAAAGTACGTAGCTAAATATGAAAACAAATTATTTGAGTTAATTATATTGCATAAACTAAAAAAGCGGAAATTTCTCGACATACCGAAAGTAACACTTTTGGAGATGATTTTTCATTTCTGCAGCAGCGACGACTTCATCACAGCCACAGTTTTGGTTTCGACAAGGCAAAGTAAACTCGAACTAATTCCAGTTTACATTTATGCAAATTAAGTAATATGCACAAACTTTTAAATACATATAAGTAACAATTAAAACCTGTCGGGACAGCCGTTCCGCGAAGTGTGACACGTGTAAATCCGTCTGGCACATGCCGCATTTTTTCACTTGGTCGACGCAGATGCCGCAAATTATGTGACCGTTGGCGCAGCTGTGGATTGGCGAGGCAGGCTCCTCGAGACAAATCGTGCAATCCATAAGGTCCCCCAGTTCTCGGAGAACACGTGGTTTTGTCATTTTTAGGACAAAATACAAAATTCGTATTAATTTAATTAGTTTTATGGACTATACTAACTAACATTAGCAAACTTTTAAATTAAAATTTGTAAAGTGACGTTACAGGATAAATATTCTCAACTAACTAAACCATCCTCGCATTTAGTAAAGGAATTAGGATTTTGTATCAAACGCTTTTTCACTAATATCCAAGGGACCTGGAGCCTTCTCCATGTTTAACATGCATGTTCATGTAAAGTTGTAAAATGCAGACCTTTACAGGGCAAAGGTTTGAGGTGAGGTTATTCATAATTCAACAAATAAATAAATTTGAAGTGTACATACATTGCATGAAATGCAAGAAAAAACTTGGTCCAGTCTTTGTCTGCATTCTCTGATACGTTGTGACAGAAAAAAACCTCACAAAAGTGTACTCTCCGACACATATTTTGAGTCATGGAGTTCATGGGCACCCCTGTCCTTGCGTAGTTCTTCATACCATTATGCTCGAGTCCACTGGGTTATGTACCTAAGGGGCTGCTGGACTTCAATGAAAGTTGCTAAGGGAAGGCTAAAAATATGTTAAGTGGTTGGTTTCCAAGTTAACCCTTTTACAGGAACTCAAAGGCTTTCCCAGTCTTGTAAATTTTCCAATTAAACAATATCTCCTTAGAATGAAGGGCCATACGTATTTCCCTTTATTCCGTCCATCGTCTTCCACGCATTGAAAGTTTAACCCATATCAAGGGTCACATAAGAACTACATAAGATGCATATATCTAAATATGCATGTACATTCTGCATATACGTAATAAAGGCCATTTTACCCTTCGGTTGGTATCAATCATTTTGCTAAATAAACTTGATTTTTCCAACCTTTCTGTGATGTTCAGTTCCAAATTTCTTCATATGAGTCCAAGCTATGCCAAATTTAATGCAATTAAAACACTATCTGCAAATTGAGTTTGAACAAAGTTACAAAGCAAAATATGTACATACAAAAATAGGCAGGCATACATGAGTATGCACTACATACATAAGTATGCAAGTATGCATGTACGTAGGTGTTTTATTATTGATTTTCAAACGATATGTTCCGCACTGTTTGTGACCAAACTTTTGATGAAATAACAAACTTCAAATACATTTAAGAGGCTGTGATTTTTTTCAGCTCTGTGGGTTAACATAAACACTAGCAATAAATCAGCAAACTTTACCTCGACGGAAAAAATGTCATATTTGCAAATTAAATACCCTAGTGTGATTTAATTTTTAATGCTGGAGGGGCAATCCGTGTCGCAGATTTATGATTGTATGCTTAATGTTTACGATGAAAACTGCCAAGCACAAAGCACAATATAAATTGGGTCAATAACTTCAAATGATGGCGAAAAGAGGTCATTGACAAAAAAATCGCCAGGACGCTCAAAATCCGTTTCCTCCACAGGAAACCTTCAGAAACTAGAGAACCAATAATGAGAGATCCACGATTGAAACTGTCCACTTTAGCTGATGAGATGGGTGTTCAAAAACCAGCAATTTGTTCCATGTTAACTGAAGACTTGGGTATCAAAATGGTTTCCGCCCATAGGGTACCAAAATTGCCCTCTCCATCCCAAAAACTGGATCGAGTCGACTTTTGTAATGAAGATTTTGACCTTTTAGATGAAAACTGGAACCTGATTTATACTTCAGTAGTTGGATATGATACTTGGGTTTACTACTGTGATAATGAGACCAAACTATAATCTATGCAATGGAAACACAGGGGGTCACCGCCGCCCGTGAACGCAAAAGTGCAAAAATTTACCAAAAAATGGAAGATGACCATTTTCTGTGAAACCTAAGGTACCCTCCCTATAAAATTTATTGCCTGAAATACTACGATAAATGTGGCATCATATGCAGAAAGCCCGAAGGAGCTGCATGCTACGGTTGAAAAGAAACGTGGGGTCAAAGAAAAGAGTTGGGTGCATCTTTGACACGACAACGCGTCACCAAATACCTCGCTGGTTTCGAGGGATGCTGCAGACGAAAATCGCTTCACCGTCATAAACCACCTCCCGTACAGTCCAGATTGGACCCTTACTGATTATTATTCGTTTCGAAAGTTGGACACAAACATCAAGGGGAAAGATGTTAAGGTGATAATGAAATCAAATCGTAAATTTTTGAGTATTTTCGAGGTAAATTTTACTGATTTACTGCTAGTGTTAATGTTAACCTACGGAACCGAAAAAAATCACAGCCTCCTAAATGTATTTGAAGTATGTTATTTCGTGAAAAGTGTGGTCAGAAACAGTGCGGAACATACCTTTTGAAAATCAATAATAAAACACCCACGTATGTGCATATGTAAAAATTCAACAAATGCACACACACTCCTTATATTCCGTTATTTTCGTTTCTTTTGTTCCGGTCAAGGTCCCAGAAAAATTGGTTTTACCAATTTAATCCAGATTGAAGTTGTACATATGTAGCTTGCATTATTATTTATTTAGTAATTTATATATGCATATGTGCATATGTATAGATTACCTACAAGGAAATTCAGTTCGAAACATTATGCATATGCATGTATAGTCGAATTTTTATAACCGGTCACCTCATTTGCATATTTTGGCACATTCGCGAGAGGCAGAGAGTTTATTCAACAGGAAATGAAAGCCCGTATCGCCGAAGATGGGCATAGTGAGATTTATGCAAATGAGGTGACACGCCTAAATGCGAGGATAGTATGTATGTACATTACGACGGTATCGGTACATTTAAGTTTGACCTATGCCTATACCTAGCTCCATGAGAAACCCTCGTTTTTAACATTTCTCAGTAATTAGCAATGGTTTCAAACTCAAATGGATGAAGAATAAGTTATGTAATAACTCGAGGTTGACATTGACATTTAGCAGTTTAATTTGCAACAACATACATATCTAAAGAGTCTCAATTTCTTCCACTTTCTTTAACGCGACTTACCATAAAAATTCACTTTCTGTCCCAAGTTTTTCAAAATGTGGTATGAAAACGGTGTCAGTTATTTACGCAGAACTATCCACATCATGCATAGAAACTCCTTTTTCACATCATACTTTCTGGATTGGGACGATAAGGTTGGAAGACCTCGACCGCCGAATACTTGGCATTACAGATCTTTCCAAATTTTCGGTCTTGTTTTAACGCTAATTGTTCAGCCAGCACTGTTGATTCAGTGCTATCGATTCACAACATCGGAGGAAAATGATATGAAATCTGTCTGTATAACCTACATTTTGCTGGTGCTTGTCTTGGTAGCAATTCCGTATGCGTGGTTCCTCATGAGGAAGCCTGGTCCACCGAGATTTATCCAAACGTACGAATCTCTACTTACGTTGGACAAACAATTCCAAGGTAGCAACATTTCTTTTTCTTATTAAGATTAGGAATTCTGAATTTGTACATATGCAAATGTGTACATATGCAAATGTGTACATATGTATCTATCTGCATTATCGTGCGAATTCTTTGTCAAAAACCTTTTCCTAAGACAGTGTATCAGTGATACATAATAGCTTATAAAATAAATTATTTACAAACTTTGTGTAAACTACGCCGAATTTTGCATACGTAATAAAGCATTTAGTAACAGTTTATTTCTATGTAGAATATGTGGGCTCGTAAGAAATTGTGCAAATATGATTAGCTTAACTAACCAAATATATAAATATTTGCAATATTCGAATTCGCTCAAATTCTGAAGCTGTATTAAGCAGGATTATGTACATACTCTATGTATGTGCAAGTTGCTTAATTTGCTACTAAACTCCGTTTCACCCTACATGGTCCACGTAGGGTGAAATGGAGTTTACACATGTACGTACATACATACATAGATATGTATATATTTGTTGTTCTTAGTGATTGTCATTTTACATTTCCCTCACCTATAAATTTACTTATAAATAAAATTTTCATCATTTACGTACGTATGTACGTAAAAACTAAAAAACATTTTGCCACTCTAGAAATCTTCCCTACAGCAGCCAAACACCCCAAAATCACCCCAGTCCTCTCAAACATTACCAACCTGTACTCTACCTTTCGATTCGGACTGGACTACATTGTCCCCGTTCTAATCGTCTGGGTCTCATTTTCCAACCATAACCCGACCTACTTATTCGCACGTGGCACCTACAACTACGAACAGCATCACTCCGAACTGATAAGCATCCCTCTCAACACCATGTTCGCCCTGGCCACGTGCTTTGTTGCCAACGTGGTCACCTCCACGTATGAAATCTGCATCCTCTCCGTCGCCAACGGTATCGTGGTTTTATACTTGTGGAGTGTCCATATGGTCCACGTGGTCAGTTGGACACGTGCGGATTTTCCCTTTGACACAGCCATCAAAATGTATAAGAATCTCGGCGTCATGACGATCCTACAGCTTGACCTGGACAAAGAATTGGTTACGCCGGTTCTACACCATTTCTATATCGTCACCTGGTCCACCATGTCTCTGTATTATTTCCTACTTCAATTCGTCCCGGGGAAGGGGGACGTATCGCTGGTGGTGTCGGCGTGCTGCGTGTGCATGATTCTGGGCGGCTTGATGCTAGAAATGGTGGTGATTTGCTTTGGGGCGAACGCTTCCAAAATGTCGAGAGAGTTTTTAAGGGTGATGAAGGAGAAGAATGGGAAGGATAAGTATAGGATGAAAGTTCTGAAGGGGTTGTTACCGAATTCGATAAATTTGGAGGTGTTAGGATCTGCTGAAACGATGCGGACTGGGATTGGGATGGATTACTTTTTAAGCTATGTGGATAGGGTGACGTCGAGTACGGTGGACTTGCTGTTGACGGACAGTAATATGTAAAATGAAGCATAGTTAATTTGTGATTAGTTAAATAGTAATGTTCATGATACTACATAAATAGGAACAAATTATAATTGGTAATAATATGTACAATTAGTAATATCTGTTGGAGATTCGGTATTTCACATGGTGAAGGAATTCATGCAAGTTTGGTAACAGTGAAAAATCGGTAAATTTCCAATTCTGTAATCCTCCAAACTTTTGCAAATATTGTTGAGAAAACTTAGCTTAAAATTTGTGTAAACTTATTCAGATCAAGGTTGTCATTTTATTTTGCGAAAGTTTGTCAAATTATTTTCCACAAAATTATGAATTTTACCAGCTACCAATAAGGCTACGTGAATTGCCGCAGTATCTCACGTATCATTTAATATCATAAAATATTTAATACACCTTGTGATTTGGAAACACCGCAATATTATCGATGTTACAAACCTTTACAAGGTTGGTCTGGATCTTTCCATGGTCAAATTCAAAGCGAGGTTAGTCAATAGATAACACCTTCAGCATATTTTAGTACGCATGTACATGGAATCTTGTTTGATACAACTGAGCAGTTTATCATTTATTCACATTACACAACAAGCAACTGGACGGACATATACTTAAATACTTACATAACATGTCACACGATAATTCAAAATTGTGATAGTTTGCTTACATCCAGTGTATTGGCAGAATTTAATATGTATATATTTATTAAGTTTCGTGACCCATTGTGACATTTACATATTTCCTTCATATAAAGTTGTGAATATTTATCCTGGTGTAATCAAAGCCTTACTTAAATGTGAAATATTCCATCATTACAGTTCTGTACATACAAAATTTAACTATGTATAATTTTGCAATGTTTATTCCACGTGCTCCCCTGATAATTAGGTAATTCTACATAATGTTGTTTTGTTAAAGGTATATCTGTATGTAGGTCGGATATTTTGCGTCGCCCGTTCAAACCTGTGCATTTACTCCGTAGTCCGTACTTCGGGTAAAGTCTTGCACTCACGACTACTCCGATCTATGGTTAGACAGTTAAATACTGCATTTTCAAAACTCATTAACATAAACATGTTTGACAAACTTGGTGTTTTAAAATGACACAAAACATCGCTATCAAACTATGCACATGTAAAAGGGATTCACGGCTTCCCATCGAGTTTTACTTGTATTAAGACAACCTGGAGTTCCGACTGAATTCCAAATTCAAGGTCAGTATACCTAAAATAGCTTGGAGACATTAAATGTCAAGGTACTATGCATATTGCTCTACTTTTGGGTAATGATTAAGACGACGACGTCACATCCGTTTCATACATGCATTTTGGACTTATCTTCCATTGGTGACAAAACTTTCGTTAATCATTACCCATAAATTGAAACAGGAATAAGTAGTACCTCCTCGGTTTCCCACAAAATTATTTAGTGTTGCACATGCATTTCTGCCTACTTGCTATAATCGGGGATAAAAAAATCACCAATTAAAAAATCATGTCTCACATTTAGTGCATATGGACTTGCGTAAAAGATACGCGGAAACCTGGGAACTTGTTGATACTAGATTGCTTATCCCAATTAGTCAATTGATAGAAAATAGAGTACTATGTCCCGCTAAGTTTAAATTGTACTCGTCAAAGATTTCGACCACGTGCGAAATGACGACCACGCTGGGTTCCGGATATCTCAAATATCTCCGAAGCCACATGCGAATTTTGGACTTTCTCAAGTGCTTTCCCCTGGTATTGAGTGCAGACAAGGATCGGATTGTGGTAAGTAGGAGTCGTTTGAAGAAATGGGTCACGTGGCTTTCTCCAATATTTGAGTTTCTGTATCTCTTCTGTTTCTTCACCGTGGTTCGAAACGACTGGACGAACAAGTGCATCGGCAAAGCAGCCGAAGGTGCCATGGTTACAAATGGAATTGCCGTATCAATTATCTGGAGCTTTGGTGCTTATCCAGACACAAAAGTGATGTCGCTGGGACAGACATCGGGTTTCAACAAGTAAAGCCCGAATCGCCCAAAATGCAAGTGAGATTTATTCAAATGAGGTGATACGCAACAATAAATCCACTATACATAGTTGATTTTTTTCGTATTACTCCAATGTCTCATGTTCACCAAAAAATCTCAATTTGGCCCAAAAATCTCACATTCCCATACAAAAATCTAGTCATTGTTTCTACTCATGTTCATAATTTCAAGTTTGTATATGATTATTTCTTAACATAAAAAATGTGTGCATATTTTAGCCACAAATTTCAAAAAGTTACGGACAGACCGCTGTTTAGAAGGGTACATGATGATGGGAACTATCGTGCCAATCGCAACTGGGTTCATAAATTTAGGACGAGTAATTATGGATCATTGCGCCCCACCCTTTCTGGGCGCGTACTTTCTCCAATGCCCACTATGTTCGGGACCAAATCCGCCAGTCAACTATGTCACGTGGATTCCAATGCTCATCCTGGACTTTTACTTTCTAGTCATCGTCTTACAGAAAGGATTCTTTTATTTGATTCATGTCGTATACGCTACAACGGGGCGGTTGGTGGATTACTTGGAAATCATTAGGAAGTAAGTAAGCCCTTTACAGTTACTAATTCGGTAATAAACGTTACGAGCAGAGAGTGATTCGACCAATTTCGGTAATAGTGTGTGTACTCGTGACACCCTTCGTGTATACTATCCTCGCACTCAGCCCATGCACCTCATTTGCATATTTTAACGCATTCGCGAGAGCCATAGAGTTTATTCAACATGGAAAGCTCGTATCGCCGAAAATGGGCTATTGAGATTTATGCAAATGAGGTGCAAAGCCTAAGTACGGGGATAGTATGTCTTGCAAATTGAAGATGAAATATACTTTGAGAAGCTTGCTATATGTATTTGTGATATTTCGCAAAACTTTTGCTGGAAAATCGTAAGATATTTTTCGCAAATTTACCCAGCAAGTTTTTATTATGCAAGATTATTATTTCGCTCGCAAACTAATCCTCTCCATTAAGTGCTTTACAAGTTGCAAACAATCCATGCAAACTAAATTAAAATAGGATAAAAGTGCTATTTGCACAGATTTGTGAAATCATATTTTGCGAATCCTTTCGCGACACAAATTTTGTGAACTTCACAAGTTTTCTAAATGTCTTGCAATGCAAATTAAGACGTTATCGTGTGTATGTATACGACTCTTAATGTATATGTACGCTCAATATATGTTGGGGTTAATGAGACAAAAATCTTCACATTTTTTTTCATCTCAGCTCGTCCCCCGGAAATTTAGGACTATACAGATGCGTCCAAATTCTAGAAGCCCAATTAAACGACTATGCTCGAATACGCATAATGCCCGCCTTCATTTCCGGCGTCCCATGCGTCGAGATGCTAAGCTTGTTCGTAATGATAAAGCTGCACAATGAAATCCCACTTCCTGCATTTTTGCTTTTCCCGGAATCATTCCTAACCGCAGGGGGAGCCTTGATTGTCTATGAAACCGTGGCCGCCATCCTGAACACGAAATCGATTCAGTGCATGTTGACCTGGAAGCAACTTTTTTGTCAGGACCGGGTGAAACGGAGAGTGGTCAGGTCGCTGATGCCGTTAATGGTGAAGTTTGGGTCCAACTATATCGACAAGGGGACACCTTTAATCACGCAAAATTTTTGCATTAGCCAAACCGTGTCGATGTTGTTGATGAAGAGCCGCTAATTATGAGTAATAATCTAAGCTTAACCATGATGTTTTCGCGCTATACGGATTTTGATGTCAAAATTGTTGTAATTTCTGGTACATATGTAAATATTTAGTTCGAGCTTATAATTAAATAGATAAGAACGGTTATAATAAGTAAATATACTCAGAAAATTGGTGTTAAATCACTACTGACCAGAGTACGTATGTGTGTATATGTATGTATATGACGTGTCGGCACGGCAATAAGTAACGGGAATTACCGTTTTAGTAATGAAAAATTTACACTTAGAAACCAACTACTAAAAATCTGATAAGAAATCATTACCAAATTAATGCCAGGACGGAATATGTATGACAATCGGATTTTATTCGGAGTGTATTTACTTAAGTAGCAGCCTCTTTGTTAAGGCAGTAAAATACTTGTGCCGATAGCAATAAATCACTATAAGAAAAATCCGATTTCTTTCTGCATAAATATAAATTTTATCCATTGTAATTTTATTATTTCACAAATTAATCGACAACAACGCCGTAATCGTGTAGTTAAGTATTACATCGTAATACGCTATCTTCGTGTCAGCGGTACACTCATAAAAGTTGAATCCCATTAAGCCCCCATAAATCCTGGGAATTTGAATCCCCCTCAATTTCCTCGTCAAGTAAGGCTTATCCCAACTACGGGCCGAGACCCACACCCATTTATTGTACAAGACTCGCCCATCCTCGTAAACGTCAATCACCATGTTTAGCAGGATGCTTTTCACGACGTAAAATACTCCCAGTAACGAAGGAAAATAGGGGAACAGTGCGACAGGTATTATTCCGTACATTTTCAGCGTGGCAAAGTTTAAAACGATGCATGCAATCAGACCAATCATCATGGTTGTGGAGACCAAAGGGGTCATGAAGACGTCCCCGAATGAAAAACATATCCTGCAAGAGGTCACCTTGACTAAATATTGGTCCACCTCGGTCCTCCGTTTTCTCATCAAGATACCACATGAAGATTGAATACGTGCAATGCAGCCAAGACCGAGATGCGTTATTATTGCTGCGATACAAATCATGTATGCAGCGCCTCGACAGGTCTCCGAAATTGGGACGAATGTAAGAATTCTGGCGGCGAAGAAGAAAGATGCGGCTAATTCGCGACTTTCTGGGGGAACCAGGTATTCATGAAGCATCGAGTATGGATCTAATTTTAGGTATAATGAGCCAAAAAAATAGATGAAAAATGTAATAAATGAGAACGCAAATATAATCATGTTTAAAGATACACCGAGAAGATCGCAAGATTGAGATTCTTTATCTTTAGACCCGGTTCCCGGGACGACCTTGTCTAGAAAAAATGTGGCAAAGTGATCATTAAGTGAGTCGGGTTAAGCAAATGTATGGTAGGCTAGAATCGACGTACATATTTAACATTGAGTTTATTCAACATGGAAAGCCAGCAATGGGGATAGTGAGATTTATGCAAATGAGGTGAAACGCAAAAATAATTCCACAGTACTACAGCTTCCAAGGACAAATGTGCACGTGGACAATATCTTTTTGAGTGGCCAATGGACAAGTCGAGACTTAAATTGGAAGATATGAGGAGTACTTTGTGATTTTTTGGTCGCCTACAAAATATGTATTTCCTTAATAAGAAATATGTTAAATATATATATTTGTTTTTCATTAAAATCAGAAAAGAAGAATGACTGATTTTTTCTCAGTTTCGTAACCTCTAAATGTAACTGGAAATATGAAGAATTTTTAAATTTCAATCGCCAAATTTTTGCATTTTAAAGCCAATTACACATATTGACGTAACATATTTCTTATTTCGGCACTATGCTGGTTCGGGGATCTCCACATGTAAGCTAGATAATGTGTGATTTAAATAAATAGTGTAATACATTGGCATATGTGTCGATTACCCTTTATCTTGAAGTAAGTGGAATGAAAAGCCAAACCAATACATTAAATTATACATACATAACTTTAGATTACGCAGTATTCAGTCGTTGTTCTTTGTGAAGTGATACACATACCTAGTCGTATACACTCAAGTGTCAATAGCTGATTGCTAAAAACCTACGCTGCAGAATTAAAATCTGATAAGTGCATTAGATTCGCCATGCGATTTACATTATGATTCACTATGGACTTTGTAATTTTTGAACATCTGGATAAATATATAGGAAATTGAAGAGAAGCGGGCGGCGATGGGTTTTCACAAAATAAAATCCAAGAAAAATTGTGAATTTGGCATGTGTTGAAAAAGTCAAACGTGTACTATAATTTAGCCCAACGGACTATAAAAAGGTTCATGGGGACCGAATCGACTAAGAACAGCCGAAGAATAATTTTTTGAAAACCTCCAAGGACCACACCCATCGTGAAGCCTCTCAAGCCTGGAATCCGAAGAAATTCACGAAATTCCATCGGAAACCGAGCTCACTGCGGACAGTGTCGATGCAAATTATCGAATGAGTGCTCAAATTGAAGCTTAGGCTTAAGGCTTTGAAACGTGGTACTTGCCATATCCTGATCGTACCCCAAAGGAAAACCAGATTAAATGAATGCAGGAATCACCTCAAGCGGTACGCTCCAAAAAAGTGAGCAGGATTCTTTTTACAAATGAGAAGATTTTCACATCGGAAAAATCTTTCAACAAGCGAGTTGTCCTAATCTACGCAAAATCGGTCAGAGACATCCCCCGATATAGACAAAAGGTCAGAAAGTCACATTATCTAGGTTTTTTGATGATTTTGGCAGGTGGGAGCTAATTGGGGTAATTTCTCTACATTTTGCTGAAAATTGGGGGGTGGTGGGGGAATAAAATTTCTTAAAATATGTTTTTGAGTCCGTGGTACATCCCCTAAGTGAGATACAATTCAGTGGAATCGATGGGACCTCTAAGCAGGACTCAGCACGAACTTATAGTGCAAAAAATGACCTAAGCGTAGCTAAAAAAACAAATTCCGGTCTTTATCTCCAATCATAAATGGTCACCATCCTTGCTGGATTTGAATCACCGGAATATGAAAAATGGTCAAAGTGAGGGACAAAGGTGTGTTCTAAGCCCCGTAGAAGTGCAGAGGCTTAGAAAAAATTTCTGACCCCGGAATGCCACAAAATGTCCTTGGAATCTGTGCGTAATTCCATCGAGAAGTGGCTGCCTCGTCTTCAGCGTGGCATTGACGCAGGAGGAGGAAATTTTTAAGACTAAAAATTGTTTTTTAATTGAAATTTATCTGGCTTTTCGGTAAAATAAATCAAAAATTGCTAAGTTGAAAATTACAAAAGTAATAAAGCTATATGTCATTGACACTTGAGTGTATACGACTAGGTATATCTTTATCAATATATGTACATATATATTTCTTATGTATTTTAAATATGTTAGTACAGGCTTCCATACATATTTATTTAATACGCGAATGTGCCTAGGCATGTATGTATGCCCATATGTAAATATATTTTATAAAACTGGATATGCACTAACATGACAAATATGTGCATAAATGTACATACATGTAGTTGACTCATGTTGCTGTTGACGTATGTGTACATACATAATGTGTGTCTATGTATATACATCTGTTTATGTCGTTTATGAATTCTGAGTCACTCAATTCATGAAACCTGTTCCATTTCATTTTCTGCATATGGTAATTCATGGAATTCAACTTTGAGAATTAAGTGAATTCACTTTTATTATCATGTAATGAACATCCTCTAAGAATAATGTCTACATTTACAGCTTAGTCATAAAGCTGTTCAAGACTATTTCCACTGTTCAGTTAATCGTTGACCACTCTACAAAGACAACGTCGGACTAACTCTAAAACCACGTAAGTGCATTCGCTTCTTAATTCGAAATCCACCTATGTGCAGTAAGTAGTTAATTCGAAATCCACCTATGTGCAGTAAGTAGTTAATTCGAAATCCACCTATGTGCAGTAAGTAGTTAATTCTAAATCCACCTAAGTGCAGTCAATAGTTAATTCTAAATCCACCTAAGTACACAAGAAAAACGGGGAAAAAGACCTAACTGCAATTCCAAAATTATACAGAGTTTATTAATTATGCAAATCATACTATGAGCTGTAATATGAAAGTTTTTGCCAGGCTAGTGCTGCGAAAACGTTCTAAATTTAAAAACCACAGGTTCAGGGGGTGTGGTTCTTGCGCCTATTTTAAACTTAAAAAAGACCTGGCTGGTAACCTATCTTTTTTATCAGTCCCATAAGGAAATTCTAAAAACGGGATAAATTAAAAATTCACTCCCTCAGGGGGTGTGGTTCTCGGCGCCTAAATTAAGCTTAATAAAGACCATCAACCATATAATCTATCTTTTTTCTATCTGAATTAGATGAACGGTTCAGGATATTAAAAACTGTGAAACAAAATCTTTAGGGGGTGTGCCCAGAAGCATGCTATTTAATTTTACGAATGTTTCTAATCCGATTTATACTTTGTCAGTACAATTAAATATGCTATGCCATGAATTTATGAAACTTAATTTAGCGGCCAAGAACTACACCCATTGAGGGTGTGGTTTTAAATTTCGAATATTTCATTGGGGTTCTTTTGGTTGAAAGAAGACATATTGCATGCTAGATAGTCTATATTAAGCTTAATTCAGGCACCCCCTGAACCTGTGGTTTTTAAATTTCGAACGTTTTCGCATCACTAGCCTCATCTGGCAAAAACTTTCACATTACAGCTCATAGTATGATTTGCATAATTAATAAACTCTGTATAATTTTGGAATTGCAGTTAGGTCTTTTTCCCCGTTTTTCTTGTGCGCTTAGGTGGATTTAGAATTAACTGTTGACTGCACTTAGGTGGATTTAGAATTAACTACTTACTGCACATAGGTGGATTTCGAATTAAGAAGCGAATGCACTTACGTGGTTTTAGAGTTAGTCCGACGACAAGCAACATCATGGAGCATCCTAATAATAACGACGACGAGCAAACTGTTCTTCAATCCCCGACCCAATACAAATATTCGGAGGAACAAAAACACCTAGCAGGTTTTGCGGGGATGTTTTTAGTAAGTTTTGACCTGTCGTGATTTAAATAAGGTCATGGAAAAGACGGTATTTTTACGACGTTCGTTTCGTCACCAGTTTTAACACGTGGTAAAAATGCCACGACAACCCCACATTTCGTGACACCATTTTTCGATAACCTCAAAACAAAATAAGCTTCATGAGGCATTTGTAAAATTATTTGAGACTTTATGTGTGTAAACTTTTGAAGTTTACCAAAAGCTACATAAATACATATCGATGCGAACCTTTCATTTTGCAGTTTTTTGCAATACTTTATTGCAAAAGTCTGAGTGGTAAATATGTCTCATCTCAACCATAAAATCCGACATACATATGTACATGTATTTATTAAATTAAGAAAATCACTTAACCTCTATTGTGCTCTGTTTAACTAAAATTATAGTTTATCGACATAGCCACAGTTATCATCGTCTTGTCCTTATCCCTCCCATGTGACGACGATAGTACGTACATCCACGATTATTAAATTTTATGCTATGTGCGTCAAAATCGTATGTCAAAATTTTATCTTATCATCAAGGTTGTTCTGGATTTTTCTGGTGGATTCTTACCTTCGCTTTATTCGACGCAATCGCAAATTCACTCGTCATTTATGCCATTTTCCGAGTAAGCGTTTCAATATTAAATATAATTCTTAACAGAACTTCATGATACGAATCTTGCAATGCTATAGAAATGCATTGTGAGATAAGGGAATTATCGTAAAATCATGAAGCATAAACTTAGCTAATGGGTTCGAAAATCTATCTCTAAATAATTTTGCCAAATTATATTCATTTTTTAGGCCCACCCAAAAATAATTTGTGTCTGGTTGATCTATCGATCCATTGGAATTGCGCTGGGCGTCATTTTACTCGTTTACTCCGTCATCGGGGGAAATTGGACGCTTCACTCGGTTTTCTACTCGAGCCTTTCTATCCTCCTCAGCATCTGGTCAATCTGGATTGGGAAGACGCTCAAGGAAGATATGGAACTCAGTCCGTACAGTTACCGTAGGGGATTTGCTGTATAATGCTCATTTTATGCACATATTGAACTTACATAATAAAACTAAATATATGAAAGTGCAGTAGAATTATTTGTGCATGTCGGCTCATTTGCATATTTTAACGCATTCGCGTCGAGTTTGTTTAACTTGGTACGTCATATCGCCCAAAATGTGCACAGTAGAATAAGATAAGATAAGCACAAAAATATGCGACTTTATGAAAAAAGCTTCACCTTGAACGTGACAATGCCCCTAGATAAATTTGCCGGAAAATCACTTGGGATAAAATTCTTGTTTATTAAATGGGAGGATCTGGTTAAGATGAGAACCAGTTTACAAATTCTGATTGAAAAGCTTTGCTAATACTTTGAGTCACTCTGGTTCAATACTAGGAAAACTAGGAAAAATAGTGCAAGCCGTGTCCACAGATGACGAAGGTGACCAGTTCATCTCCTCAGGGATATGTTGACCATTTTCTAAATCCATTAAAAATTTAATTAAGCTATGTATCCACCAAAATCAAAGAAATAAATTTTATAAATTTTATATCGTCGTCACCTTTGTGACCAATTTTACTCTTCGTCGCATGGGAAGCTTTGCACCCCACCGTATGCCAGTTAAGGTCCATGATTAGCACGAATGTTTCCCCACAGATGGCACATTTATAGGGACGATTGGTCTTGTGCTGGTTCACGATATGGCTAAAATAAAATTTGATACAAATTAGAACAAAATTATTAAAATATCTCCGCTACCTTTTTTTTGTTTTTACTGACTTTTCGAGTTCTTTCTTCTTCCAGAACAGTTTCCCGCATCCCTCCGCAATACACGCGATTATCGTGATGTCCAATTTACTCAACAGATCTGGGGAATGGACCACTCCACACATGACGACTTCATGGGCAGCACAATCCTTACAGGAAGGCAGCCACATCCCGCAGACGGAACACGCACACTTTATTTTCCTACCGGAACGTTGAAGTTTGTGCGTGTCGTTGTAAATTTGCAGTTCGTTGCAGCCGCTAGTTTTAATGGAGGAGGAAGCGACAGCCGTCGGGAAGCTGGTCATATTCTTCTTAACGGGGGTGTGATGATGGGGTTGACGTCTATAAAACATGTTTTGTCAAGTGAATTAAAAAGTAAAATAGGGTGAAAATTTTCGACTTACGCAGGTGTCGACGAGGTTGGTTTTATTTCGACATCTTTGGAAATACTTCCACTATCCAGTCCTTCGTCGTCGTTAGTTATACTGGAAAAGATTCTAGATAGTTCAATGAGGTCGGGTAATGGTGGTTTCATCCGAAGATTCTGATTCTTTGTTTTGTTTTTGCCACGTATCCCAGTATTGCGGACATGTTTGATAGGGTCGTCTTTGGCGACGGGTCTGCAAAGTAGGAAAAATGTTTAAGAACCAATGTAAGAACGTTCGAATTTTCAAATTTTGGAAGTTACGGGAACCTGGACTTAGTTCGTGTCATAACATCGTCCCCTAAGGAAAGATTATCTCGATCCGAGGTCTTGGTGATAGCATTTTGTGGGGACGTGAAGATGTCGTCCGTGATCCAAGAGGGGAGAAGGGTGGCAGGTTGATCCACATGTTCTGTGGGGTCGTTACTTTCTCCCTCAATTTTGACTAAACAAAACTGTGCAGCATTGTGCAAATAAGTATAATTTTCGAGAAGTTTTGAATCAACGGGGTCGAGATCTGTGGTAAAATTAGGGATATTTAGTTAAAACTAATAATGCGCCCAAACCTGGCATACAATCATCGACATAAATTACACGATTGGCTTCATTTGGTAAAAATATGGCAGAAATTATTATATTTAGATCATAACTTTATTTGAAATGTGTCACCTTCTCTAGTCTGACCAGTCGCGTCTTCTTGTTTAATTGAAGTGTCATCTTTAAAAACTGTCCTATTCATCCAATCTTTGTCAGCAGCTTCGACACGGTCTTCTCCGACGAGGGGGGCGAAAGGGTTTAAATTTAGGGCTTGTCTAGTCTCCATTTCGTCGGAACGTTTGTAGCGAGATCTAAAAATGCAAAATAATACAGTTATGTATTAGACTAGACTTTAATGTTTTTGTTGAAACTTTTGAAATATCAACACAAAAATCAATGGACAAGTTAATTTAGCTTGTAAATGATAAATAACAATTTGACAAACTTACCAAACGCAAGGCAGATAACTTATCCCGCAAGAGACTGAACGGTTAATTATTAATAAAAATTGTAAATTTCAGCATAAATAATATGTACAATTAAATATGAATTAAATACACTATTTTAAATCAAATTTCAGTTGATTTTATACCAGAGTACAAAATTTGTACTCTGTTTGGAGTTAATCAGCAGATTGCCGCTTTATTTGTCTCGACGAATTTCTCAAATTTCATGAAAATATTTCTCACTTGGTTTGAATTTATAAAAAAAGTTGGCCATAATATTAAATTTATTCGAAAAATTGTATTCAATTTATCAAACGACGTGTTAAATTTAAATAACTAGTTTAGGTAGTTAAAAATGTGGATGTCACTTCACTTCATTCACGCGCAAAAAATGATATAACTATAATTGAAATTAGCATATTTCTTTATTAATTTAACTGCTCCAGACAGCTACAGCTACATAAATAAACAATTTATTTAATAGTACGAATAAGAAAACAGAAGAGGACTGTCAACTGTTTAATCCCCAGTTTTTTTTATTACACTTTAACTTGGAAAAGGACAATTAAATTCTTCTTTTTCCACTAAACGAGAACAAATCATACATATGTATTTACTTTTATATAAGAAATAAAGACAAAAATACTATTGAAAATATTGTCATCCCGGTCACGCGACACGCGTCGAAATGCGAATACAAGAATCGTCAATAAAAAAAGCTAGTCTAGTCTTCTATCACAAAAAGATATCTCCTTTCCTTACTCGCCAATTATTTCGTCATTCTCCTTGTTTTCTTCGATCGCTGATTCCATTTTGTCATTCTCCTTGTTTTCTTCAACCTCTGACTCCATTTCGTCACTTTCTTTGCCTTCTTCCACCTCTGGTTCCGCAGCTGCCAAAATTGCTGCTATAGCCGTCTGCGTCAGGACCATTTGTGTTTTCTTGTACTCCGCCATTTCCTGGAATATATTAAAATTTATGTAACTCTCATCACGCAATTGCAATGCTCAACAATTAATTAAATGTACTCACTAAATGATACCGAACTCTATCCCGTTGTGACACAACTTCATATTGTTGCTTCACCTCTGGGCTGGCAAGACCCCACAATCGGCCCAATTCTTTAGAAATTTCGCCCATTCCGTACTCCGGATTCCTCCCTTTAACCTTGGCCCGTTCATCTTGGCAAAACCAGAAGAAGGCGGTGAGAGATCGCTTCGGTGCTCCGGTTCCGGTACTTTTCTTTGACCTGGGACGAATTTTCTTAGCACCTTTCTTGCCCCCTTGATATTTTCCTCCAGCCGCCTTGTAGACCCGCATTTCCGCCTCGTACCGGGTCTTGTCATTCTCAGCCATGTCGCAAAATACTTTCTTCTCTTGCTCGGACATAGCCTGGAATTAAAATTGAGCATATTTATAATCATGCATGACGGTGTAGATAAATAATTAAAAATGTGGCAACAACAAAATTGTGACTCGGCGGAGGCACTATCGAGCTTTGTTACCGAAGAGTAATAAAAGTTCTACAAGAACAGAGCTTCGTCGTCGTCATGATAAATTTGACACAGTTATTCTTGATTTTGGATGATAAATCGTTACCAAATTCACAAAATTGTCACCGGGCGGAAGCAAACCGGCGTTTTGTAGCGATTCGTTAGCAAAAAGTGTCTTAAGGAATGCCAAATCTGCTGCAACGCATTACAAATTTGAACATAGAAATATCTCGGGCTCGCTTTGGGTGACATTTTTTCATACCCGGTGACAATTTTGTTACCAAATTACATATTTACAACTTTATAATTACTTACCTTCCAACGTTCTGCACACTGTCGAGAGAATTCGGTGAAGACGAAACCCACATTGGGAAATTTATTGTAATGTTCATCCCGGCACCGGCGAACGAAGCAGGCATACGGAGTCATGCGCCCTTTCGGTTTCGAAATGCGAGGCATTTTTTTAAGTTGAGATTCAATAATTTCAATTCGACAAGAGACAAAATCTAAGATGTAAATATTTAAATTCAGAACACCTGTTTTATTGACGACGCAATTTCTGATATAAATTTTACTCGTTCTCTTCCCCCGCCAGCTTGGAGAAGGATGAGAATTCCGGTTTTGCTTTACTTTGAGACGATTAGGGAATTGACTTGACCAAAATTTTGTACTAATTGGTGCTTCTTGTTGCTGGTAAGTATGGGGATGTCCAAAAATTATGTCACGGTGTCGGAGGGTAAAAGTTTTACGTGACAGGCCCATTTACGCTGCGTGGCAGGGAGGAAGGAAGGGTGGGTCTACATGAAAATTGGCATTTTTGCATGACATAATTTATGGACGTTGCCCTAAGTATGTAAATATTTAAGCATTTTTTTATCTACATAAAAATCTTACTGTACAAGTTTCATAAAATTGTGAAAGTATGTAGCACTTGCAAGTCTCCTCATACTAATGTCTTTGTCGTCAAACGCTATAGAAAAATGTTTAATTATGTATTTTCTAAATAGTTTCATAGATAGATAGATAGATAGATGGTTTATTTCAGAGTGATTTGGCGTCAGCCTTTATAATCACGAAATAATTTCATAAGTGCTGATGCAAAATAAATTTCGTAGCCAATAATGATGTCGAATTTGATGGAGTTTTTAATTTTCATGATTAATACAATGTATCACATTAAAAAGAATCTTCAAAATCTCAGTAAAGGTGCGGTCTGCGGTCTTGATAAGCTTTGCAAACTTATTTTCCGTACATCAACCAGCTCAAGTCGTTACCAGAAACATTTACTAATTTACGGCAATTAATGAATTTTAGAGTCTCAAGGATAGTTTCTAAATTGCAAATGAGATAAATATATCTGTATGTATATCGCCTTACGCCATGGTGGTGGTACTGGTGGTGAAGTGATGGGAAAGCAAGGGGGAATCGATACGTATTTCCCCTCCAGGGTGGCACCAAGGCAGCAGAAAACCAGGACCGCTATTACTAATAAAGTTATGAGAACCGTCATTTCAAAAAAGTTAAAGATTGAATTTAATGTAAAGATTCTAAAAAAGATGTCTTTCAATTAAGTTGTAAATTCTTTGTCGAAATGCCAATTAGAATCAAGCATTATATGCCCAATTTAATCTCCGTTATGCAATTTGTACTTATGAAATTCACAGTTTGCACAGGTGATCAAACAGTATCTTTTTGCATTGTTTGCCAAGATTTAATTGTTATGTATCTCAACCATTGTGACAGTGAAATTTAACCAACATCGCATAATAGCTGTTTAATTCTCAATATTCCTCAATTGATACATATGTATTTACAGTAATTTACACCCTCAATTTTGAAACAAATTGCACGTTGGGAATGTTTGGCCAGAGTAAACACAGACGTACAGTAGACTCCATATATCTGCATACCCTATGCATGTGCTATGCTCTGTTGCATATAAAATCTCAACCGATTATCCAAATTTGAAACAACTAGTATCAAATTGCAGGTAATTTAATGGGGACTTGAATTTTTTCTAACTAATGCCCATAACTCGTGTTAGTTGTGGAACACATACTGAAATATAAGATGACAAAATTTCGGCGCGCAAAAGTCTGCGTACCCTGATTTGTTTGACCAAGGTAAGTTAATAAATACATTTCAGAGATTCATAACAAATATTTTGTCACTCGTTTTACCGTAGGTCATGATGGTGCCACCACGGAGAGAGATTTCCATAGCCATCCGCGATCGGATTATCCAAGATTGGAAAGGTGATGAAAATGGGCGTCTGGGATACAAAAAATTAGGCGAGAAGTACAAATTAGCTAAATCGACGGTCCAGAGGATTGTTACAAATTTCAAACTCACTGGATCAGTGCAAAATAAGAGAAGAAGTGGACGGAAACCAAAGTTGACCCAGAGAGAAGTCCGCCATCTCGTGAAAAAGGTCGTAATATCTCCTTCACTAAGTGCTCCGAAACTTGCAACTGAGGTCGAGGAGATGTTTGGGAAGAAGGTGAGCCACAATACCATCCGGAGAGTACTACACAAGCAAAACCTAAAGTCCCGACCAGCAGTTCGAAAGCCTCTCATCTCAAAGAGAAACGCAACCAAAAGACTTCAATTTGCACGGGACCACATTTCCAAAGGCCAATCATTTTGGGATAGCATTTTATGGAGCGATGAGTCGAAATATAATGTGTTTGGGTCAGATGGACGTCGACGAGTGTGGCGACTACCAAATCAAGCTTTAAATCCCAAGAATCTCAACCCTACCGTAAAGCACGGAGGTGGATCTGTGATGGTATGGGGGTGCATGGCTGCGAATGGGGTTGGAAAAATGGAATTCGTGGACGGAATTAAGGACCAGTTCAAATATCAAGGTATACTTGACCGAAATTTGAAGGAATCTGCCAGGCAACTTGGACTTGGGAGAAGATATACATTCCAACAGGACAATGATCCCAAGCATTCTGCGAAGTCCACCATGGAATACTTCAAAAGAAATAAGATTGTCAAATTGGATTGGCCTCCTCAAAGTCCAGATTTGAATCCCATCGAGCATCTTTGGAAACACATCGAAAGAAAAGTCAGAGAAGAGTCATTTTCTGGAATTCCAGGGCTTAAATCGAGGATAGAAAAAGTCTGGAATGAAATTTCTCCCGACGTGACCAGAAATTTAGTGAGCTCCATGACCCGGCGTCTTGAAGCAATTATTAAGGCTAATGGGGGTCCAACTAAATATTAAAATTGTTTAAGCTAAAATGTCTTGCTAAATTTGAATTTTAAATTATTTTTGCTCAAAGGTACGCAGACTTCTGCGCGATTTTTTTTTGCATTGTTTGTCTACAGTAATAATTTAATGAGTAATAAATTTTGATGGCAAACACCATTTTCACCGTTTGTTGTCCACTAAATTCTGCACAAATTAATATTACTCGTTCCAAATTCGGATAATCGGTTGAGATTTTGCATGTAGTTGAGCATAGCACATGCATAGGGTATGCAGATATATGGAGTCTACTGTATGAACGAGTTCTGAAAGCATGAACTTGAAAACCTAACCCTGTCATTGATTTGACACAGTTTTGAGAAGTTATTAGGTCCTGCAATTGTATCGGCATTTTAACCAAACGGAATTTTTCCTTGGGGTTTACTCTAGGGTAAGTTACCCTCAACCCTGGGTAACATAATGTCCCGATGATGTACATAGATTGCATTTGTACATGCATAAGCTAGACAAATTCTGGACATTGAACTTTGTAAATTCGGGTTGATAAATGTCACAAAATTATTGCTTTTTCTTGGGGTTTAGGTAAGCCCAAAAACCCCAACAGAGGTAACCCTCTCTATTAATACGAAAGTTTTGGAAACTCCATGGACAATTCATTTTAAATTCATTTTATATTTTGTGACATCATTTATGTACGTTCCTATCATCTCAGACATTTCCTCTTAACAAAACTGCTTTGAAAGAGACGAGCTACGCATTCAGGAATTTTGAGAATTTGATGAAATTCAAGGACATTTACACCACTAGAGGAACTAGGGGTAGGCAGGGGAGGCATTGCCTAGGGGCCCCCGCGGAGCTGGGGCCCCGAAATTCCCCGGAATTTTTATTAATTTGTTACCTACTGAGCATTAAGGAAACGAGGGACAAGCGTTGCAGAAGGGGCATAATAAAAACAGAAAAACTGGAATTTCTGGGAAAAAATTCTGTCAAACATCTATATTATAATTTTCATTCCAAAAATTCTTAGAATTGGGACTATCAAATTTTCTATTTATTTTTCTACAGGCTTTGCAAATCCTATCTTGATTAATAATTTTTCCTGTTCTAAGATTATCTATTTTTTTTAGTTATCTAGCTCAAAAAGCATTAATGAAAATACTGCAAAAACTGAACTCCGTGCTAGCAGCCAGCTTTACCCTCAGTTTTTGAAGTTGTGGTTTTATTAATAAATAATTTTAAGTAAACCTTTGACGTTTGACCATATGGCGTAAAATTACCTTCCCAAAACCACAAAATGTCCCTAATTTCTGAACTATTTTCAAATCTATCAGGGACAGGGGCCCCCGACGTACCTTTGCCTACCGGCCCCAAATTTATTGTTCCGCTACTGATTTACACTCATGATTTGGATAAATTTCAATCTCGAGCGATTAAGACAACATATATGTAACTCGGGAAACAATACTGAAACAGGAATTGCTTTACCACCTGAACACAAACTTAAGAATTTAAATGTTAGAAGAATTCACAAAACAGGGCTAAAGTTGGGTATATAATGAGCTTAATATGCCCTAAATAACATATCGACGAAGAATCAAAGCCAGGTTGAAATGAATTTCGAGTCATTGAATTTCTCGAAATGAATTTTTTCAGAAATTTGTTGCCAGTAGCGGCCCTTATTTTGTGCTGTGTGTGACACCTTAGAACAAAATACATAGTTCCTACATTCTTGGTTTCTTTCCCCGTTCCGGCACCATCATGGTGTAACCATAAGTTGATATGCATAACCATTATTTATTGCATTCACAGGTTAGAAAATTCTTAAATTATTTATGTAATTGTAAATCAGTCAATCCAACAACTTGTAATACGGGCCGGTTGCACTTCGGATGATAAGTTTGCAAAGTTTCCAGACCACCACAAATCGATGGGTCTTTGAACTAATCCATTTTCAAATGTTACACCCACAAAACCTCACAAAAAACTCCGTTAACCGTTGGTTTTTTTCGAGATTTTATGCACGAAAACCAACCTATTTACACAAAACCCGGGTAGCGTTCCCCGGCTCCATGTTTTGTTTTTAGTTGCTAAAATGTTTCGTATGTAATGTAAATGCACACAATTATGTTATGCACATATAACCCACAGAGGTATATGCCGACCAATTTGGCGTCGGTGCCAATTTTGGACGATTTTTTAGCTGCGTCGGGGGCGCTTGGCGGCTCCCCTAAACATGCTATAGGAATAGGACATCAGATTTATCGGCAGGGTGACAGTGAGTCATTTCATGCATGATACAGGTACGATGCAATATTAATTTGTTTGTGAGACAATAATGCATTCAAACTATGTACAAATCAAGTAATTTACAAGGTAAATATAGA